ATAGAATGCTGGTACAAGGTGCAGCTTAGTTATACAAAGATTTAAGGATACATATTTTTGTTGTTTTAACACAAGGTGTTTCATTTTTATGGTCGGTATTGTGTGCTGGAAACAGATAAAGTTTGTAGAACAGTGAGAGGATGAGTGCCTGCTGTTAATCCCGCTATTGACTGAGCCCAACTTCTGCTGCTCAGTTGCACTTGGAAGCTTTGCTGCTGTTCTTTCTTACTTCTAAGCTCTCCTGAACCTTCTTTTATGCTCATTCTCTGCTGCTTTGGTTTCATTTTGGCCTAATGCTGGTAAACCTTTCTCTTTGTAGGATCTTTCAAATCAATATTCATGGTGGGAACAGTTAAGTTATGCTTAAGTTCTACTTAAAACATTTTTTTTTTCTTCCTCTCATTCACATATTGGAAAGAGAGATTGAACTGACTTCCAGGTTACACCTTACTGGGGTTGCTGCTCTTGTTTTCAGATGTCTGGTCTAATCTCGCCTAAAAATCCTTAGCTCACATCAACTTCTTAAGACATCATTGGGATCTGCAGTTAAGGTGGATCCCTTTTCAGGATGGGTGACAACGCTTTGATCAAGTGATGAGGGTTCTGGGCTACAGCAGTCTGAATAATCTACACTTGTTCTAATTGTTTTAATTTGTAGGCTTCCAGTGGTGAGGATGTGTCCTGAAATAGAGTGGCATGTTGTGATTCCTCAACAGTGAGATAAAGACTCTTAAGACTGTCCCAGGACCTTTAGTAAGATGGTGAGAGACAGACCTCCAGAGCTTTGTTCTGCTGTTTAATAACCACTCCGAGTCTGATGACTTTTCAACTTGGCTGTAATTTGAACGCTACTAACAAAGCATACCAAGACTGAAATGAACTAATATGGGAAAGATGTCACACAAATAGTAGAGCTTTCTTCAAGGAAGATAGCCAAGAAGATATCAGGGGTTGAGAATAAGAGCAGGGAAAGCATATAAAATGTCTTACCAGAACGCTTATACTGCCTTCAGCAATCGGTGAACTGACGGCTTCTTAAACTAAAGGTGAAATGTTTGCATGCAGCTCTTTAATGGATTTCTAATTGTTATTTATTTTAATGAATTTGTCAAGTCAGTTTATGAATCTCTGCAAGCGTCCGCAGTGAAGAGTTCTTCAGCTCGCAGCTTCTGTGAAGTTCCTTTTGCTTACGTGAGTCAATTTCTTGAAGAACACAGATGTGAACCAGGGAGATGCATTTGATGTAAAGCTCTGCCTGATGGGTTACAACATTGGGCACTGCACTGAAATAATTCTCATGCAGACCTTCCTCCTAATTTTACTACTGGTGCCTGCCACAGTCACGCTTTTCTGTTGGTCTACGTGTTCATGTCAGTTCAGTAATTGCTGCTATATTACATCAGTTTTCTTGCAAGCTGCCTTAAAATTAAAAAGACCATTTAACCATGTGTACTATTCACTAGAGCTGCCTAGATGCCAAACAGAAGGAACATATAGCAGAGCAGTGTGTCAGAATACTTAGTGAGGCCTTTTAAGCATGGATGGTTTTTTTTGGATATATGTATTTTTTTTCAAGGGCCAGGACTAAATTTATAAAACACTACAGATTCTCCAGTATGGGCTGGAAGAGACAGCAGTAAGCAAGAGCTGATTTCACACTTCTGGATGCTGAGGTTGGCCAAGAGACAGTTCTGTTATTGTCACTGTTTCTTTCTCACACCTGCTTTCATTCTGCTTCATATGCTATTTCTAGGAAGCCAGTTTCGCAGTGTCTTAGGCTTCCTCGGCACCCTTCCTTCTCTTCTTAGGATACAGATACAAGTGTTTCTTGGAAAATGGTACATTTCCTACAGGAAGAAGACAATCTGAAAGTCTTTGTCTTCCCAGTTACTGTCTTCCAAGTTATGTGCCTTTGCATTCTGTAATCTCTACACCTTAAATCTGAACATGACAAAGATGTTTCAGAGTTCACATACTTTGTTACCACTGGAATCAGAAACATCCTTACTGGAGCTTAAGAGAACTGTTGTCCTTCCATCTCTGCTCCAGGTCCCGGTAAGTTCAATGAGTCCCCACTCATTTAACATATAGAGGTGGTGCTCTGTGCTGTCTGTTGGGTAGAGCCCACTGACCATCTCTCACCACCTCACTTCCGTAGCTACACCAGCAAATTCATGCCTAGCAGGGGGCTGGCAACTGGCTTAGATGCTGGACAAGCAATATTTACACTGTATCTGATTTTTTGGGGGATGGAATACTGCATACCACATATACACTTATCTTTGCATAGAAAACATAACTTCTGCCCCTTCTTTGGCCCTTTCTGGGACACTTCTGGAGATCTTGATCAACGTGTGCTGTATTTTTTGTTATGGCTGTAGGCAGTGCTTCATGTTACTCTGATAAACCCTCAGTCAATATGCCTAAGCTTGTTTCTGCAGTGTTAATGCTGCCTCAGGATAAGATTTTTGTTACGTTATCACCGTTTTGTGCTGCTTCTGCCATCTAAAACAGTTTGAAATTTGTCTCAAGCTACAATTAAATTGTCTTTTTTGTTTGGCTGTACCACTGTGGCTGTACCAAAGTGTATATAAACTTTGCTATGTAATTCTTTATCACCAAATGGCTGCTACTCATGGTAGTTCCTCAGGAGGATTTTATTCTATTTCAAAGCCAGTAAAGCTTTCTGGGACTCCTTGAATGACAAACACACTTTTGTGGGTTTTTTTGTGCAGTTAGTATAACATTGATAAAGAAAAATGGTATATTCAGTACCACAGCAAGCAGTTCTGTCTTGCCTAGCTATGGATACTGTCTCTCTTCTAAAATTATTCTTTCACATTACTTCCTGCCGCTGCTTACTAGACCAAAAACTTCTCATGCGCATGTGGCATCAGTGCATGCATCATGCCCCATGTTTTTAGGAATATTGCTTCCAACAAGTGAAAAATAGTGCATAACTGGGTAAAACTCCCAAATTCCTTTCTGTCTGTCTTTGTTGCTACTGCCAACCCCCCATTGTGGCGCTCCAGCTGACTCTGTACTGCCTACATGCCAGAGCTGCACTGTGCTGTGCTTGCCCTCATTGAGGGATGCCGAAAGACTTTCGTGTACCTGCATCTCTGTACAGCTATGTTAATGCATTTTTGTATTCTTGTAACACTAAGGGTTTAGGACAGACTTTTGACTTTTTAAATTACATGTAATTAAATGTCTTTTATTTAAGTAATAAAGAACAGCCAGCCCCAGGAAGGATTTTAGGGAGGTTCTCTGTCCTGTACAGCCTGCAGTGAGGTACTGTGCTCTTGCCTCCTAGCACATGCAGAGCTCATAGGGATCATGTGTTGGATCACTTCCACTGTTCTGGTTTGGGAATGGCATTAGAATTGCTCATTAGGAGTAAGAAAAAAAAATGTTCTGCTGCCAAACACAGTGTGTATTTTTTTCAGTGGAGACTTTTCCAGTTTCTTACTGCCATCAATAGCTGGAGGCTGAAAGAGCTGCTGCCCCATACAGACGCAGGACTCTATGGGAATTCAAAGTATTTCACAGCGTCTTTTCTTCTGAAGTTTCTTTATAATTCAGTTTCCTTCCTATTTCTCTTTCATCATTTTGATTGCACTCTTATCAGATGTTGGATTGTATGAACACTTCACAAAAGCCCTCTTACTGCATTATATTCTGCTGCTTGGTTCTTCCACAGTTATGTTCTATTTCTAGAACAGCATCTTCTTTTGAGGTGTTGCGTATATTTTCATGTTTGATCATCCTCTGTGTCTTGTGACATATTTCTGTCTGCCTCTTCCTTGTGCACACTGCGTTGCTGGTCGCTTCCTGTCCTTCCTTCTTGGTCCTTTTATTGCTGGGGAATTTTCTCTACTTGAGCTCATAATTTAATGGGGACTTTCTTCATTTTTTTTTTGGCCTGAAGAAGTGTGGTGATCTTTCATTCTCGTTCAGTATTTATGGTGTTGAACTTATTTAACTTTGCAGTCAGAGTGCTGCAGTAGCTCTCGTTTTTAGGAAGGGAAATATGGAGTATCTTTAGGGAAGAAAGGTAGAACAGCAAAGAAAGCTTAATGAAAGATCTATGCAGCCTGGCCTACTTCTAAAGCAAGCAAAGAATCTTAGACAAAAAGACAAAATGCATTAAGAAGATCATCTATTTGTCCTGTTTCAAATTAATTTTCTTCTAGGGCAGAGCTAATGTGCATCTGAAAGTCAATTTTATAGAAGAATTGTAATAAAAAAAAATGAAACAAAATTAATTTTGGTGTAGGCTATCTGGAGATCCCTGTAAAAGCAGGGAAAGAGGCATGAGGTAGAATGTAAACACCATAGCAATAAGATATTTTTCTATATCTTTATTTGATAATTTTTAGCAGTGCATATGCTATGAGGAGGACTAATTTATAGATGGCTGAAGCCCTTTCTAACCATCCCTATCTTCTTTGCTTGGCTGTTCATCACAGTATCTTTAATCCTGGCTCTCTAAAGGCCCTTCAACCCTATTGAGATGCTTTTAAGCTTATTGAATGCAATTCCTGGCAAACCCCTCTGATTTGTGTTGGATGCCATCCAATGAAAACCATAAAAACTGCCCGTGTTGCAGCTGCTCTCTTAAAACAAGACCCTTTTGCCGGGTAACTGTAACAGCTCTTGCAGCATTTGGCATTAGATTCTCCTTGACTTTTTGGCTGTCAGGCACAAGAGCACTGGACTCCTGCATGGTATAGCTGGTATCTATCACCTTTTTAGTTTGTGCTGCTGACCTGAAGCATGGTTGCATCTGCCAAGTGTATGCATGGATTGAGCTCGGGTATCTGTATGGTGAGTTAGCCTTCTTTCCTAAGAAACTGGTTCTGAATTATAATTAATAATATTATAAAATTAATATTATATCATCATATTAGGTAAGCAAAGCCTGTGGAAATGTAGCATGCACTGCCATAACCTGTATTAATTCTACCATTCTTTACCTCCACCCCTTTTTTCCTCAGATAAATGGCTCATTTAAATTGGGAGCTACTAAAATACTCTCTGGCTGGCAAATGCAGTGCCTAGCAGCAGTCATCAAGGACGAACCAAACATGAGTGGAGGAGGGGAGCAGGTCGACATCCTTCCGGCCAATTATGTGGTCAAAGATCGCTGGAAAGTGGTGAGTAGCTCTGCCTTTGTGCTTCCTTTGGTGGCCCCAGAAGACCACCTCCTCCTGTAGTAGTATAGAAACTTGCTTGGTTAGTCCTGGGCTCCAACACGCAACTGTGGAATGGTATGGTTTAATGCTTTAGTAAGATGCTGAAAGAAGATATTCTAAACACCAGAGCAATATTGACTATCTGGTATTTTTAGAAGACTAAAGCTGCCAGGGGTTTTTAGTTAGGATTGAACTGTTGCAGCTGTCTGAGTCATCTTTTAATAAGAAATTTGGATTTCGAGTTATTCTGGCAAAGAATACTAGAAAAGTGCCTATAAATAAATTACATTACAAAAAGATAATTCAGAAGCAAATGCTTGAGGTTATAACATAATCTACTTCAAAAGTCAGAAATTCCATAATTAGCTTGTTGGTAAACTTTGATGTTAATTTATTCTAGCACTTTTTAAATTACATCCTTACATATTAAGAGTTCTAGGTCTTTGTAAGTCAGCTGTCCTCTCTAGTGTGCAAGCTGAATGGGGTAGCCATTCAGCAGCCATTTCATCTTGTGTGTACGTTGTGTGGCTGCAGATCTTAATATCAATGGCACGACTGCCATTTGAACTCACCTTTTTGTGTTCCTTACTGCTGTTGTATCTGTGTCAGGAATGTTTTACTGGGTGACGTAAGAGGATGTACTTCCTTTTACATGTAAGGCTTTCTCTCTATTGCTGGAGTGAGGTGCCTAGGAGTGAATGGGTGGAAGTAGCATTATATCATCACCTCAGACAAAGAAAGGAGAATATAACATTAGATTAAATGTTAATTAAAATCACATCTGTGCCATTGTGTCCATTTCTGACTTGAATTACTGGCAGTGTTTGAATAATTAAAATCACTGCACAAAACTCTCTAGTTTGAATTGCAGATGATTTGTAGTAGTAACACTAAGGAGTTTCTCTGTGCTGACCAGATGCAGCACAGCTGCCTTCTGAGTTTTGCAGTGAGTTGTGGATAGCAGAGGATGAAAGAAACTCAGAACTGGGCTTCAGCTCCATGTTGAGGATAGATTATTTTCAACAGCCCACTGCAGATAAGATACCCTCCTTTGTTAGTGTTACATTCTGCCTGTATCTCTTTGTTGCTCTTAAGAAGTTACACTTTGCTTTGTTCCTGTTACTCCCCCATTGCCTACCTCTCTTCATCCTAGCATTTTGCTTGTGGTTTCTCCACGGCCTTCATGGCTTATCCCCTAACAGTCTATTTATTTTTAAGCAATTCAAACTGCTCCTCAATCTCCATGCTTCCTGAGAGCAGATGGAGGATCTCTGTTTTCTTTGCAATTAGATATCAAAACAGAGACAACTCCCCACCCCTTCCCAAAGCTTTCCGGAGCAAATGCAGGGAAGCCTTGCTGTGCTCTTGCAGCTTTTGGCTGGGGCGCGTACATTTGTTCTGGAATGCTGATGCATGTGGAGGCCAACTGACGTATGGGATCTGAAACTTGTTCTGTGCTTATGGACTTCTCAGGAAGTGCTGTTTGCAGTTTTTAGCCAACGGTCTATCTCACAAACTGAGATTTCCTCAGACCTTACAGTTTGATCCATTGGTACACGTTCATTGCAAAGCTGACATTAGATGCAGTTCTGATGCTGGCTGTTGCTTTGAGTATATTGATGCAGATACTCTTGCCCTTTCCTCTGGACACTAGCTAGTTTGGGCTTGTGCCATTCCTACAGTTCATCAAGCGTCAAGGTTCTATTTCTTGGCTGGGAGTGCTAAAATGTCTTCTGCAAATTATTATATTTTTGTGTGTGTTTCTGTTTGTTTTTCTTTCACAGTCCAAGCCAAGTAACTTTGTTCATGGATGCTGCAAGACTCTTTAAAAGCCTAAAATATGTCCAGTTATGCTCCTAGAGAAACATTTCAAACTGACTTTAAATTTCTGTTGACACTAAGCACAAGATTCAGTGGCTTTATTATTATTGTGTGAGCATGGGGACAGCTAGAAGCTCTACCAAGTACTCTACCTCAGAAAATACAGAAACATGCAGGTGTACTGCCAGCAACAACTAACTCTAAGTGGAATAACTGCCCTTCATGTTTTGTAGTGCTGGCTTACACTGTTCTTAAATACTGCAGTGAGATCATGACTCTGCTTGAAGTGTCTGAGAAATTGCATCATTTGCTTAAGGCCAGAAATAGCACTGAGAAATCCTGATTCACCCATGGTATTTTGCTTTGTGTTAACTCAGTTGTGTTGTGAGCCCTCACTGCATGGTCATTGCTGGGCCCCTCAAGAGTATATGTCCATTAGGCAGGTCTTTTGTGCTGTCCCCTTGGTGTGCCAGGTGTCGGTGTGTGATCAGTCAGAACAGGGAGCTGCATGGGACTCGGAGTAGTCTGGCAGAAATATACCTCTGTTGGCCCAAGGGATTGGGTACCATAGGAGCAAGTTACACATAAAAAAGGGGGGTGTTCCTTAAGTGAGTGTAGTTTATTGGTAGCTTTTTTTTTTTTCTTCTTTTTTTTTTTGTCATAGGCATTTCTGAATTTAACACATAGCATGTAACCTGGACAGGCAGAGCTTTGCTGTGAGTAGTGGATCCTGCTCAAGCAGGTGTGTGGCATATTTATGTGGCGCTGGGGCCGAGATGCCAGAAGGTTTTTTGTGTAATTTGTTCTCCCATTGTGACTATCTCTGGCTGGGCATCTGCTTGAACCTTGTGCTTCTTAGTGCTGGCACACTTCCAGTATTGAGCCAAGTTCTTATTTTAGATCAGTTTAATGTATTCCTTGAATTCCTTTCGTCCTCTCTTCCTATATGCTTGGTGACAAATTCTGACAAATGAAGATGTTAGTTCTCTGCAGTTAGCTTGGCAGTAGTTCATTTTCCCGTTGCTCCAAGTGAGTAAAACTTGGCTTTCTGACAATGATTTGTTGTTGTTATTTTAGGAGAAAGGAATGGACAGGGAGTACTTGTGCCTTTCATCAAAACTTAGGGACTTGAAGAAGTAGTCTTTTGAGTCATCATTCTTTACCTGCAGATGTTTTAACTAGATGAAACTTGAATGGTGCTAGAACCATGCAACTCTCGCTGAGGCCCCACAGGATGACTTGATCCAAATATGCTCTTTCTGATGTATGCTGCTACACTCAAGGATGGGAACTAAAACATGGCCTGTATATAGAACTAAGTCTAGGTGTCTAGGTGGCTTCTCAGTTTGTGCATGTTTTATCTGAGTTAGTTACCCCTTGAGAGCAGTGCAACTCCTAGGTGAGTGGACTCTGAGAGTTTGGTGAATATCAGTCTATTCTTTCTTACTTCTTGTTAAGTCAGATGAAGCCTGCTTGCCATTTCTGGATGAGCTGGCCTGTTGAGATGGGCTGTAAGAGTTGCAGACTTGACCACAGAAGTACTCCTAACGGGTAGATGCAGTAGTTACTGTTTGCCCTTGGCAGCATCTGAAGCATATGGATGACAGCCTTGTTCCTGGCTGAGTTCGCTGGCCTTCAGTTTGGTATTTCGCTCTGTCTTAAGAGCTCATGTTCTGCTTCCCGACCTTGCCACTGACACTGGGACTGAACATCTCTTTTCTTGGGAAGGTCTTATCCGTATATAATATCCTTGGAAGGCAGACTTTGATTAGAACAGTGATGTCTTATTCACTTGCTAAATAAAAGATCAAATTTGTAATTAAAGGCTATTTTTGGTTTCTGGGGGGGGAGGATTGGGGTGGAGTTGGAGGATTGCCGTGTTATTCTGGCCTGTCCCTCTGTGAAACAGTGCAGTTTTCCATTTTCCCAGTGGACCTGTACTTTTTTCCTGCCAGAGTACTTTTTCTGCTTAATGGGAAGGCCTCTTTTTTTTTCCTTTTTTTTTTTTTTTTTTTTTTCCCTAGGTTCTGAAGGATTTTGTTGCAAGTATCTTTCTGGATAAATCCAAAATGTTAAGGATATATAAAGGAGACTTCAAAGGGAATAGTCTGTGTTTTGTATAACTGCTGACATGTCCAGAGGGGCTTTAGGTATTGGTTTGCTCAATTGGGATGTAGAAATTTTGTGTTGGTTGTCCTGAGAGAAGCCCAGTCTGGGGAATTCCTTGAACCCCCTCATCAGAGCTTGCTACACCAAGCAGAATGGCTTGGTAACAGTTTACCAAAGGGCTTGATGTGTCATGAAGACTAGAAAATGGAAGAAGTGCTGCAGTGTTCTAAATGGTGATGTGGTCACTGGTGGCATACTGAAAGGACTGTAAGCATGTCTGAAATGCAGCTGACTTAGCTTTAGCTGTCTATGTATGAGTCAAAATAGATACCTGTATTTAGTAGGTGAATTGTTTGCTCAGCTCCTCAAACATGGATACATAGCTTCCATGCAGGCTCTTACATTTTGGTCGAAATAATCCTGCTTCTGACCTCAGCCTAAAGAGTAGTTGGTCTGATGAAAGGTAGAAGAAGGATGAGATTAAACTATTCCCTGGGAAGAAAGGCATGGGCTGGGTGATTCGTGATTACCTATTATGTGATTTTCATTAGACGTTCCCTTCTCTTTCTTGATTTTGTATTTAACATTTTCCCTATTTATTTTCTTGAATGGTATGTGTCCATCTCTCATTTGTGTCCAGCAGAAAGCTGTGTAGAATTCACCTTAGGGCAGTTGAACTTCCATAGAGTATCCAAGCAACAAGGAGATGCCTGCATGGAAGCCCTTGACCTCAGCTAAGGCCTTCAGTTGCAGTATAACAACTTGCTCACTAACAGAGAAAAGGAAATGGCTGCTGATTGCCTCTGGATGTTGCTAAAAGACCAAGGAGGTTGGCAGTACTGGTAGTGATGAGCAGGACCATCTGGTGTGCTGGGAAAAGTATGCTAGAGGATAATTTCCATAAAGGAGTGACTAGAATGTATGTATAAAATCAGCTTTCTGATTCAGAAGAAAGTTGTCTTAATCTCACATCATCTTGCATTTGTTGCTCTATAGACTTACATGCATCTTCTAATTCAGTTGTTTTTCCAGGTGAGCAGTCTTAATACCTGAACCTTTCTTCCTGAATCTGCTTTTCTGGTACACACTTTCTTTTGTTTCTGCTGAGGTGGCAGTCCTAGGCTGTCTAGTTTGTCCATCCTTAGTTTCCCAGGCTCACAGTTATTCTCTTAGTCCTGAAGTGAACCACTTCTACCTCTTAAGGAGCTTCTAACAGCAAAGTGCTCAGTGGTGTATATTGTACACAAGACCTTCCTACAGATGCTTACATTGTTGCTATCCTAATTGTATAACTGTGCTGTTCCATTCACACTGTAATAGCTTCGCATTTTGACAACTTTATTGAGGACTGTCCATGTTGGGGCCAGTGAATGGAAAAGGATCTTCGTGTGATGGCTCAGAGGTATTTCTTGCAAGATCAATTTATTGAATTTGCAACCAGGCAAGACATTTGGGTAGCCTATGTCTCCTGTTCAATCCTGCTGTGTTATATTTGTTACCGACGACTTTTGTTTATGATGATGTGCATTTTCCCACTGAGACTTCTCCCATCTTCCTTCAAGGTCCTCCCAGGTCCCAAATAAGCTTTTTGCTACCTTCAGCTTTTGCTATTCCTTTTTTCATCTTCTTTGTCATTAATATGCCAAGGAACAGAAGATCCCATGTACTGAATACTGAGATATTACCTGATGTGTTATTGTGCTGAATGTAGCATTGATTTGATTGAAAGATTTTAAATAGTCAGCTCACTTTGTATGAATTTCCAAGTAGAAGCAGAGCTGCACTATAATAATTTATGAATATGTGCTGACCTAGTTATTGGGATGTTTATTGTTTGAATATGCCTGTGTAGCTCAGCAGAATGTTGTGAGGAAAAATAACAAGGGAAAGGAGAAGAAGAATGGCTCCAGATAGCAACTCTCAAAAGGTTATCCAGAAATAACTTCAGAGACAATACTTAGGGTGTTAATCCTAAAAGTACTACAATCTCTTGTACCAGCTACCATGTAGAAGTGTTTTTCTTGACCTGTGGGACAGGAAAGCAAATGTTTTTGGTCACCTTGTGAAGAAAATCTTGCCCTTGAGAGTCTGGAACTTTTATTTATCAAACTGGGCAGATGTACAGGACAGGCTATGTGATGCGGAAAACATCCAAAAACATCATTTAAACCTCATCAAACATTGTGTAAGATACATGTTCGAGTGTCTGGCTGATTTAAGCTGCCTTTTCTCTTCAGTTGTGACTGTTGCTTTTGGAAATGAGCAGTCCTCAGGGCTTCCAGAGCAGCTGCAAACAGTGCATGCGGAATGCTGAAGAAATGGGCTGCGGTTAGGTTCAGAGAATAAGTGCTAAGTGGATCAAAGGAGCTCTGGTCTAGCTATGCTGTAAACCTGAAGTTGTTCCTGTGCAACACAGCGTGCTTTAAACATCTAAGAGAAACAGAAATTTTTAAAAAAGTAAAGGAATTGTCCTGGCAAAGACACTGACATTTGCAGGAGTCTGTCTTACATACATATGTATATCTATATGTACATATGCTTTCAAGTCTCAGCAGAAGGAAAATCAAGGAATCACTTTCCAGGAAAAGCTCAGCTTGTGCTCTGAGTGGATGATTGCTCTAGAACAAGCAAATAACTTACATAAAGTGGGTGCAGATCAGATGTGCTGAAACCTGGGCATCTTTAGCTTTCAGTTTGTTTTAGCTTCCAGGTAGGGAGATGGTAGTATTGTGATGCAGTGCTTAGTTTTGCTTAGAGACACAAAAAGCTTCATTTGATGTAGTTTAAAAAATAATAATAACTAGAGATTGAGAATCAGAATGGAGAAGTTCCTGTGGCTTGTGCAGGACTGCTTTGAGTTAGTGCAGTTGTCAGTTCTCAGAAACATGACACTGAAGTAGCCTCACTAGCAGTGCAGGTCAAACATCTGAAAACTTCCTGTAATATTTAGTTCTCTATTTAAAATCTTGCGAATGAGGTTCAAACTTAATTTTATTTATTACTTGCAAACATTAATTCCAGCCACTGTAGTTGTGTTTTACTGCAGAGATCAGTGTGCAGAAGATGAATGACAGTTTTTATCTTTCACACTCTACATAATCATTCTGCTATCTCCTTAAAGGGTCTTTCCTTTGATTTTTGGCAAGAACATTATTGGCATAATAGGCTTTACCATTTGCTTTTGTATGTATCACGTGTCATCACTTGCAGAGCTTGTTTTTTGTTGTGCAGCAAAGAATTTATACATAGCACAGTCAAGTGGGCAGCTGGACTTCTGCCTAACTGTGCACTGAAGGGATTCAGGCACAGCACAGACTGGGAGCTGAATTTGTTCCTGCCTGTGCATTAAAGAAGCTAGTGCTTGGCTCTGTGGGAGACAATTTGTTGCCATCTCTCTTGTGCACTGTAGCGAATCTCCTTGTACTTTTCTAGTTGAAGAAGATCGGTGGTGGAGGCTTTGGGGAGATTTATGAAGCAATGGATCTGCTTACCCGGGAGAATGTGGCCTTGAAGGTGGAATCAGCTCAGCAGCCCAAGCAAGTTCTCAAGATGGAAGTAGCTGTGCTGAAGAAGCTGCAAGGTAAGGCAAGAAAGCTCTTTGAACTCAAAGATAGAGGTCAGTGTGCACATTAACTATTATAATCCAGACTTGCAAATGTTTTCCGTAAGTTTCTCTTCATCTACTTTGTATAACCATTAGGTCATGGCCTGAACCAATGATTGAGCATCTGGTGAGGGAGTTTGGCCAGCCCTGGGAGCATAGGTATGAGCAATTCACCAGTGTGAATGGAAGGAGTGAACCCTGGGTTCACCCCACCCTAACCTCATTTGAGGGCTGGCAGCCAAAAAGGAAGCATCTCTACTTGGAGATTGCCTCCTTTGGTTGTTTTCTAGTGAGCACTTATTCTCAGAAATAGGTAAGCTATTCCTCCTTTACTACCAGAGTGTGACCAATGCCTTTCTTGGGTAACCTGAAAGCTAGTCAGTGGTAGCTATATCCTCTGCCTTGTACCATACAAACCTGCAATGTTATGTTAAAAAATTTAACTCAGAAAATTACTGCATTCTGCAAAGCGTCCTATTCAAATGGGTTCCAACTATAGGAGCTGCTTTTGTTCACTAAGTTAAAATAATAATGGGGAGACTAAAATTATTTATACACTAGTCTGTTTTCTTTAGTGGTATTGATTAGATAATACTGATTAGGTGATACTTATTAAAGCAAGTGATGTCTGACTAAGAAGTAGTTAGATGGTTGCTCCTGAAGGACTGGAACGGTGGTTGTGTCTAAAACACTGAGCGTGAAGGAGTCTCCATGTAAAGTGGTTCAGTAGTAGATAAGTGCAAAAAGTGCAGCAGTTGCTCTTGGTTGAGGATATAGCAAGGGCTCTTCTACTAGAAATTGAGAGCTGGGGGAGGAAGGAAACAATTTCCAAGCCTGCCCTTGTGAAGCTGAGAACTCCTGTCTGCAAAAGTGCAGTTGTACTGATTTCTTGGTGAGGCCAAAGGCAGCTACTGGCAGATACAATTTTTATGAAAGGATGTTTTCTTTGGCAGGATTTGCACTTGAGCCAGAGAAATGTCTTCTCATGAGACAGTGAGCTGTGTACTTATCACTAAGTCTCGTGCTTCAAAGGTATTGTGGCCCTATGTCAGTGCTTGTACCTTTTCACCCTCTAATCCAATCAACTCTGGAGATTTTGTACAGGGGTAACTTTTACAGGTCTTATCAAATGTGGGTTAATGTCTGTGTCACACTGACTCTGTAGTGACTTGCATTAGTTTTGCATAGTTGAGCTTTTACAGGATGAGGACTGATAAAAGCCTTTTTGGAATACGCTTTATTATAATAGATACTTCTGTGCTTGGGAAAGGGGATGAAAGTAAAGAAGAAATCAACCCAGATCATTAAGACATTATTGCTGGTGATATGTGAAAGGTCTGGATATGCAGAGGCTCTTGGAGAACAGCAGAGCAGGTGGCTGAGTTCTGAAATGTAATGAGAACCTGCAAAGCAGAGATTTAGATTTTTGCATTTGGTTGTATGCTCTCAAGTGAGTGAGTGGTGTGACCGTGTAGAACGGCTTGTTATTGGAATAATGAGAAAGGATGCTATTATGCTGGCTAATGTCAATGCATACTATATCCAGAGCAGGGAATGCTTAAAAAGCATGACCTGAAAATACCAAATCAGAGCTAACATCATAAAATGTTCAGGGAACTGACTAACACATTTACTTTTCCATCAGCATTTGTTGTTGAAAATAGCAAGTGCTTGAAAAGCAGCCAGAATTGTATGCAGCGTGATCTTGGTAATTTAGGGGTGGGAACAGAAAACTAGGAAAGTTCACTGGCAAACCAATTAGTAAGTATTAAGGAACAAAAAAAAACAGAAGCAGCACAAGTGACTATGCATCAGCTATCTGGCATTTAAGAATGACAAATTACTTCAGCCATGTTTGCACAAATCGAACTGCTCTGTGAAGAATATAGCTTTTTTTGGTTCAAGGTTAATCCCCAAATGCTTTACTGAAATAAATTATAAAGTTAAAATAAGAAATAAGGTTGAGAGATTTGGGAATCATGCATTGTGTATGTTTTCATAGTGACCTGTTGAGGAGAGGTGTGAAGTCTTTCAGAAAAGGAGGCACTGACTTTGGGCAAACAACCGGTGGAAGAGAGTAAGGTGGTGATACTAGCGTAGATGTTTGTCAGTTTGTGCTTTTCCAGATGAAAAGCAAGGGGAAAGCCCTGTAGAGTCGTTCTGTTCTGATCCTAGTTGATTCAATTTTTCTGGCTGCATAAGACTTTTTATTTGTTTAGGTACAATGTCTTTGCCAAAGATAAAAATCCTTTCTGGCTTTTGTTGTTACTTGCAAGGATCCTGGATCACCCTCACTTTCCCAGTCTCTGTACTGTCTGGGAGGTACCAGCAACAGTACCCTTTTAGACTGTGAATGAAACATGGTTAAAAAACCGTCTGAATCCTCACTGCAGGATGATATTCCAGCAGTCATAGCTAATAGCAGAATCAGTGGCCACAGAACTAAAACACTGGACTTCTTGTTACTTGGATTCACAGCGTGTTTACACTCTGTCTGCTGTAGGTAAAGTTCTTCGCTGTTAATCTGCACCAGACCTGAGTGCAGGAGTCACTTGTCGTTTTTGTTGGGCTTAATTATCTCTGGCTGATCTGTCCCTTCCATAGTTGAAGGAATAAGCAGGACTAAGCTTATCCACAGCATCAAAAAGCTTCTCTTGAAGAAAGCTGCCGTGCAGTTCTGAGCTAGTTAGCGTTATGGAGAGTTAGGAGCCACATCAGCAATGGAAAGTTTTTACAGTAGTGGACTTCTGTGGTGTAAAGCAATAAGAAAGCAGCATGTAGTTTGTAAGTGTAGAGATAATAAAGTAATAGTTTAAAAAAAAATACAAAAAGATATTTTTCTTAAGACAGTTAATAGGGAATTATCCTGTTAGTGGTGAAAATCTTGCCTGTGACAAATTCAGGAGCTGTTTCAGGAACTGTTTGGCACATCTGCAAAGGGAATTTCTGCACAGATACAGCTTCTCTATCAGAAGAGTACTATTCTAGTGCCAAGCCCTTCTTTTATTACTTTAATCACTATTAAATTATTTTCAAGTGATATAATTATATACAATTGTACCACTTGCAAATGGCTTTATCCTTAGTTAGTGTTTTGTCTACTTTGCAATCAAGTATTTTGAAAACAAGTCTGAACTGTATTGTCAAAGTACTTCGTGCAGATAGAGCTTGCATCCAGTACAGAAGGTTGTTGATCTAGATACATCTGAAAGTGTTTGGCTGTGTAGGTAAGGCTTTAGATCATATGTGTTAAAGAGGAATAGAAATAAGGTCTGTATGGCGAAGTGAACTCAAAGTTGCTTGTCCGGAGAGCAAGGGCTTCTATAGCGTTGTCTGTGTCTACATTAGTGAGCAGTATAATATGAGCAGATCAGTAAGTTACAGCAGTTGCTGAGAGCCTATGCATCTTCACAGTATATGACTTCAGGACTTTTAGACATAAATAGAGTGTGGTCTGGGAACTTTGCTTTGGTCTAACTTCAACCAGTCCCTTGGTATGAAAAGTTCTTTTCTTCCCCCCCATAGTGAGACAATTTGATGCTATCTGAGGCACCAGTTGTTGATGTGGACTCTGTTTCCTTCATGATTTGGGAACTACTTGGTATGGATCTGGAATGGAGCTTCTAGATATTTTTGTTCAAAAATAAGTTTACATGACCTGCATCCGCTCTGTGAACTGATGCATGGCAGTTGCAGTGATTTGAGGCCCTATGGGAGTTTGCTTTAAAAAACCCTTACTGGTACAAACCAGGATTCTGAAACTCTTGTTCTTTGGCATCATAAAGGAGGAAAAAATGAGATTGCTTTGTTACTTAGCACTTACAAGTGACAGAACTCCTCCTTCCAGAAGAGAAATTTTTTCCATATCTTCCATATTTTTTAACCCTTTGGGGTGTAGGCGAAGGGTCATGAAGGAGATCAGAGGACTGGAGCACCTCTGCTATGAAGAAAGGCTGTGGGAGCTGGGCTTGTTCAGCCTGGAAAGGAGAAGCCTTTGGGAAGACCTCATTGCAGCCTTCCAGTATTTTAAAGGAGCTTGTAAGTAGGAGGAAGGTGGTTTTTGTGTGTTTTTGTGTGTTTTTCATGGCCTGATAGTGTTAGGACAAGAGTAAATGATTTTAAATTAGAAGTGGGAGATGTTAGGGAAGAATTACTTACTCAGAGAATAGTGAGACCCTGGCACAGCTCTCCATAGAGGCTGTGATGCCCCATCCCTGGAGGTGCTCCAGGCCAGGTTGGATGGGGCCCTGGGCAGCCTGAGTGGGTGGCAGGCAACCCTGTCCATGGCTGGGGGTTTGGCTGGGAAGGCTTTAAGGTCCCTTCCAACCCAAACCATTCTTTGATAGACAGAAACTGATCTGCTCTCTCTATGATATTTTTCCCCACATTGGAGCTTTGTTGTGGAGCAACATTAAACTAGTAAAGGGGCATCTTTGAAATACTGATCTGACTCTTTGGAGTTAATCAGAGTGTAATGGCTGTGTTAAAAGAGCTCTAGTACAGCTTTTGAGGTTCTGGGCCCAGGCTATCTCACTGTCAGTCTGGCTTTCCTGAGCACTATTTCTGTTCACTCAGCACAGGATTTTTTTTTTCCTGGTGTGAGAGCTCTGTGTGCTTGCCTTTGACCTCACTTGTCAGCCAGATATTTCTAAGCTCTGCTCAGTGTGACATGTTCTTTGTAAAACCCTTCTTCTCAGTGTAACCAATCTCATTGCGTAGCACTCTGATTAATTTTATTCTGCAGTGCAGAGATCTTCTGCATATTGAATAGCTGTGCAAGATGCAGCCTGGTCACAGGCATTGTAGTTTTTGAGTGCTTGATTTTCTTATTACAGAAGACAATGAAGCAATTTTGTGTTGCTTGTTCCCAATTCACTGCCAGGGATTGGACAGGTAAGAATTCAGTAATAATAATAAAAAAAAAAAAAAGGAACAAAAGGGACCTCACTTTTTTTTTCTTGTCTGCCAGTCCCAATCCCTTCTTTTTCTGTGTGTGACTTGCTCTTGTTAAAACGGTGTCTTAACTCCCTGCAATTCAGTTTGTTACTTTTATAGTCACTTTTCATGTTTCTAGAGCATTTTGCTAGGTTGATATAACCATGCTATCTGTAAAGGCAGGAAAGCAAGGCTAAGTACCCTTGGAAGGTGTTAACCTAGCCCAGGGAGACAGATTCATATACCTCAAGTATCTCTACTGCCTCTGCCAAGCACATTTTGCCAAGTGAGGAAGCCCTATGGGTGTTCGAACTGGCATTTGGATGTCATGTTTCTCTTGGCATCACAGGAGTGGGGAGTGCTATAGACAGGGACGCCTCCCTCTGACCAGGCTGCTCACAGCCCCATCCAGCCTGGCCTTGAATGCCTCCAGGGAGGAGCATCCACAGCCTCTGGGCAACCTGTGCCAGGGAATTACCACCCTCATAGTAAAGGATTTCTTCCTAGTATCTAGTTTAAACCCACCTTCTTCCAGTTTAAAATCATTTCCCTTCATGTTCTCACTACCTGCCCTTATGAAAAGTCCTTCCCAGGCTTTCCTGTAGGCGCCTTCAGGTATTGGAAGGCCGCTATAAGGTATCCCTGCAGCCTTCCTTCTCCAGACAGAAGAGCCCCAGCTCTCTCAGCCTGTCCTCATAGGGGAGGTGCTCCAGCCCTTTGATGATCTTCCTGTCTCCTCTGGACCCACTCCAACAACTGCACGTCTTTCTTGTGTTGGGGCCCCAGAACTGGACGCAGTACTCCAGGTGGGGTCTCACAAGAGCAGAGCAGAGGGGCAGAATCACCTCCCTCAACCTGCAGTTGAAAATAAGGAGAATAGCGTGACTGTTACTACACACACACACAAAAAAAACCCTTCAAATTGTAACTGTAATGTTGTATGTTTTTACTCTTTTTCTTACTATTTATTTGATTAGTTTAATTGCTGTCTTGAAAACACACTAGGAATATTTGAATATTTAAATTAGTAGATTCAAATACTGTTTTCTGGTATCCTGAAGCTCATATTTTTCCATGCATATGCTCAAAAAAGATGATCATTTAATGTTTAACTGCTGTGTAATGAATGTTTATCATGAAATTGAAAAGTTTCAATATTAACTTGTTTCTTATTTTGTGTATCTACAATGTTATATACATATATATATATATATATATATGTCCTATAGTGGAAGGGCTTTCCTCTTGTCATTGTTTTTATACATTAGGACATGGTTATTGAGTATAATGTTTGAGTTCCTTCAGAACAGGGGTGGTGAAGGCCACTTCAGTGTATGAAATATTTGTTTTTCTTACCCCATAATGTTCAAGTGTATGTTCACTTTAATTTAGAAGTAATAGCAGGGAAAAAACAAGCATTTCTTTATGGATGAACATTAAAGCACTTCATTAACTAAATGCTTAGAGGAAATGAATGCATGCTTTTATCTGGCAGATAGCACAGTAAAATGAATGCAAGGATACTTCTACTAAATGGAGCTTATACTTTTTTTTTTTGTCTTTTCTGAGTGAAAGTGTGCTTTGCTGTTCTCTGTGCTATGATCTTCATGCTTGTGGATTGCATGTGTGAGGGAAGAAGGCTGTTTCCTTTTGCCTTAAAGGAAAATATAACAGCTCCATCATCTTGATTGCTCAGTAGGGTTTTAACATGATTGGCTTTGTGTGCTGCATAATTTTGATCAACTGTTGGACTGATCTGCAGGAATCCCAAAGTTATAGCTGACTCTCATCTTCCATCTGCTACTTCAGCATGGCATGGACTCCTCTGAGAGAGCAAACAGTTGTATTCTAGTGTCTTCTCCAGCTGGAAAATGAATAAAGGCATCCGAAACCCAAAGGGGTTTATGCTGTAAGCATTTATCCCATCTATGTGACCAGCTGGCTGTATATATGCTGCCTCTAAATATGGCCTGCTTTCTCTACACTCTTATGTTCCTTTTGTTTCATGCAGGAATTGGCACAGAAATGTGTTATCAGCATAGATATGCATATAGTTCTCAATGATAAACAATTACAAATGCAAATATGTATTCTGTAGAATTTTGTGATCCAGAAAATAACAATATTATGAAGCAAACTGATTTATAAGAAAGAGAGATACTCAGGAATATAACTGAAATCTGAAGCAGCCATACGGAGTTAGCGGAGGTGTATCTTAAGTCACAGTCAAGTGTATCAAACAGTAGCATTCTGTTCCTCTGAAATAACTGATTGGAGTGGCTAAGTTCTCACTGTTGGAGGATTGTTTTTTCATGTCCTTGTCTGTAGTTTTAAAGCAATAAAAAGTACCTAGTGCACTTGCTGGGAGTGCTACACGATCATTTAAAACAATGAAAACAAGTAAAAATTGTAGTCATTTACCCTCTCTACCACACAGTAGCTCTCACTGCCAGCAAAATAGTCCTTGTTTTGGTTCTTACTTCAATATCCATCTTATTGTGCTCTAAAAGGCAAACCAAAGCAAAGTATGACTTGCAGTGTATAAATGTAGGAGGCTGAATTGTGCTAGTCTGGGCTGGGGAGTCAGTGCTGGGATGAGTGGGAGTTTGTGCTGGTAGTGTTCATCATTGTATTGTGCATCTTCCTTAGTTCTGCTTATTAGTAGTCAGCTTTTAAAAGAATATATATACATCATTACATATACGTTGCCTGAACCTAGCATGATTCAACGAGACCAGGTGCATTGTGCTGCACTTGGGACAGTGCAATCCCAGATAAGAAGAACTCATTAAGAGCAGTCCTGCAGAGAAGGTGTTGTGGTTCTGGTGGATGAAAAGCTGGGCATGAGCCAGCAATGTGTGCTTGCAGCCCAAAAGGCCAACAGTGCCGTGGGCTGTATTAAAAGAGGGATGGCAGCAGGGAGAGGGAGGGAGTTGTCCCCCTCTGCTCTGCTCTCGTGAAGCCCAATCTGATGTACTGAGTCCAGGTCCATGCCCCGCAGCACAAGAAAGATGTGGAGCTGTTGGATCCAGAGAAGGGCCACAAAGATGCTTGGAGGGCTGGAACATTGCTTCTGTGAAGACAGGGTGAGGGAGTTGGGCTTGGTCAGCCTGAAGAAGGGGAGACATCATTGCATCCTTCCAGTATTTGAAGGGAGCTTTATAAGAAAGAGAGGGACTGACTTTCTACATGGTCTTTCTTCTGTCAGAACAAGAGGCAATGGCTTCAAAATAAGAGGGGAGATCTAGATTAGATGTGAGGAGAATTTTTTTTTTTTTTTTTATATTCAGAGGGTGGTGAGGCTCTGGTATGGCTGCCTGGACAAGTTGTGGGTGCTCTATCCCTCGAGGTGATTCAGGTTGGGTTGGATGGGGCTGTGGGCAGCCTGAGCTGGTAGGGGCAGCCCTGCTTATGGCACAGGGTTGGAACTGGATGACCTTTATATCTCTTCTAACTCAAGCCATTATATGATCATACTTCCCTTCTGCTAATACAGAAAGCATGTCATCTCAAATCCATTATGGGACATGATCTGAAACCACAACTTCCGCTCTGTTGGGAACACACTGTTGTTTTTTGAATATGGGTCTTGTCTGGTGTCACTTGATAAAAAGTAAATGCTGCAGCAGCACTTCTGTGCCACAGGGCAGTGAACTTCAGAGGTCTAACTAGTATTGTGTAACTGTATGTAAACCATATTATTTAACTGTATGCCAGAATATGACATGTATTTCTTCCCTTTTTTTTATTATAAAATTGCCTTTAACAACTTCTATCTTTTAATAGTTTTTCACATACATTTTTCTTTTTCCAGAGTTTCTGACAAAATTAGGGTTTGTTTATGCACTGAAGTAGCATTTGTTTAGCTGTTCCATGGGAAACAATCTAATAGTGCAAGTATAGTAACAGTTGTGTGTAAGTCAGTATTTACTGAGTGAAGTTGGCATAACAAGCTTAAGCACTGCCAGTGAACCTGTGAAGCACACAGTTGTATGTGCTAGTTAGGTTTTGGTTCAGAGGCTGTGTTACATGCGTATGGTGTTGGTATGAACTGCAGTTAGGCATACTCCCAGCTGTCCTGCAGCATGTTTGAGGATTCAGGGATCCGTGGTACTGGTTTCCGCTTGTTGCAGTTTACCTGTGCAGTGTCAGTACTTTCCTGAAATATGGGACTGGGAAGTAAAAACAAAATTAATCTGTTCTGCAGAACTCCCTGCCTGATGCCACTTCAGGTTACCATGCTTGTTAGAAACCATTGGCCTGGAACTGGTTATTGTCTCATGTTCTACTCTGTATGTTTCTGTTTCTTTGCAGGGAAGGATCATGTTTGCAGATTTATCGGCTGTGGAAGAAATGAAAAATTTAATTATGTGGTCATGCAACTTCAGGTGAGTTCTGTGCTTCTTCTCTCTTTCTGTCCCACAGAGGTGGCATCACAGGGAAGGATTTACAGTGAAAGGATAAAGCCAAGCACTGGTAGAAAACACATGGAGCAGAAGACTGTGTGAAAGGGTGTATTGCTCCGATATCCCTTGAGAGATCTCCAGGTTGTCAAGATGCGCTGAGATATTTCATAGGTCCACTTCTCTGTCTAACATGGCTTTGTGACAATTTTCTGAGGAAAGCACTCAATTTAAAATTTTGCTGGAGCTACCTGCAGAATCTTGCAACAGTTTGAAATATCTCCTGCTGAGCTGTGATAGAAAATGCAAACTATGTTTTGTATTGGAGCTCAAGTGTGGTCTCATACCAGTAGCTCAATCTTCTCATTGAAAGAGTGATATCTCTCCCACTTCTGCCAACATTGGTGGTAGCTTGACTTCTGCTGTGGAAGTATTTTCTCCTGTTTGAGCAACATTCATACTGAGTCAACCTGTGTGGTAAATATTATCACCATGCTGCTAGACAGCCAGTTACTTCTTTTGGAGGCAGCCAGCTACAGTTTACATGGGTCTGTCTAGCGAAGCCATAATAAAAGCAGGAGCTGAAGGAATTCCTCCATGGCTTGTACAGGAAAATTTACTAAATAAACATCTTCACAGCCGAAATATGATGGTACTGTCTCAAAGGCAGCTTTCTTTTTCAGTGTACAGTCACAGGAGAAAGAGGGGAATGAGTAGGGAGATATATCTGAATCAAAAACACGAGAAAGGTCTTTCAAGGGAGAGAGATTGTCCCTGGTTCAAAGGGAATGCTTTCAAACTAAAGCTGCTTTTTTTTTTTGACACAGTTACCTTGGAAACTATCTGATTTCAGCACCTGACATAAGATTTGGCAGGGAACTTGTTCTAACTCTCTTGTAGTTTGTGTGTTCAGGCTTTTGCTATACAAAGCACTACATGGTTATACCATAAAGCCCACCTGTCACTTGAGGAGCTTTCAGAACCTGCTATGTTTCTTTATGTATTATTTGGGTGATGGTGCATGCTGAAATAAGAAAGGTGAATTAGTAACACAAAGTAAGTTGCTGCATAACCTGGAAGGTTGTTTTTAGTTAGTGTCTAAGAAACGTGACAAAGAAAAGAAAGACCTGATGTCAGTTCAGAAACTCCGACCTTTAAGGATAATGATGACAAATCTGTGCTGCCTCTAATGAACTACTACAGAAATTATACAACAGGAAAAAAAAAAAAAGGGCTAGGCTGCTACTTCAGTGATTTCTTTTTTTGTCATTCACACTAAGGAGCAAACATGGACCAATTGCTCGGCTGTATATATATTAGCTGGTCTTTGTTGAGAGTGACTGGTCATGGAACTGGACACTTGGAAGCAAGATGGATTAAACCAATTTGAAAGACTAAATCTTAAGATGAAGAGCCAGTTGCAGTTGACTCCTTTATGTCTCTTGAGTTTGTTTACTTGGGAATTGCAGATGGGTGGATGAATAGATGTCATTCCACTGGTTTGGAGAGCAATCTGCTTTCTCATCAGATGTTTGTTGTCTTATGTTCTGTTGTGGATTTTGTTAGAATACATCTGGACTTACAATGTAAGCATGTATGTCTTTGCAGGAATGGAATCAACTGGTTCTGTAGTACAGTGATATTGAGTGTGTCCTTATAACTTATTCTTGATACATGCTTTCCAAAATAGCAGGTTTTTATTCTCAGTGGCTTTGAACTGTTGATACCTGTATTAGCTCTGTGGATTACAGGGCTATTCTGTCATAAAAGATACTCATTTTAAAACCTTCTTTCTTTTTGTAAACCAGAAGTATAATCAAAACTGATGTGGCAGGGATCAAAGTACCTGTTATTCTGGTGTTTAGACTGCCCTATTTTTTTCTAAATTGTCTTTATTTTCATGCTGTGCTGGTAGATTTTTTTTTTCCATAAGTTTAATTAATTGAAGATTCAAATGAAAATCATATAATTTTCAAATACTTTTTTAGTCAGTGGATCCCTCCCTGGTTTAAAGCAGAATTATTTTGATAGACAGCCCTTCCCATTTCGGCGTTGCCACAATGATGCTGACTTTAACTTGAGCTGGGGAATTTGTGATGAAACCACTTCTCCAAGTTGTTACAGATAGCTTCATGACTTGTTTATCGTACTTGTACTGCTTTCATCTCTGTCTGACTCAGGAAAAAAAGTCCAAGATTGTTCTTAATTCAGCTTCCCTGTAGCCTGCTCGTAACAGTAAGGGGATGCTGGGCTTATACAGTCTGAGGCAGTGCTGTCCCTGCCCTGTATTTCTGAAATAATGGATCAGCTGACTTCCCAGATACTGATTGGTATCTTCTTGTCAGCATATACATCACTTAAGTTAAAATGAGGTACATGAAGACCACATTGAAAAAATAAAGGAGGCATGAGGTGAGCATTTCTGGCTAGCATTTCTGCTTTTTGGACATGCATGTTAGACCTTGCAGCTGTGCAATGCTATGTTTTATTGTGATAGTTTAAACAGTAAATGTTGTATTGATTGTTTCAGGGCCGAAATCTTGCAGATCTCAGAAGAAGTCAGCCTCGAGGGACCTTTACATTGAGCACAACGCTACGGTTAGGCAAACAGATTCTGGAGTCGATAGAAGCCATTCACTCTGTGGGATTCCTGCATCGTGACATCAAACCTGTACGTTATTTCGAAAATTTGGCTTCTGCTGATAAGTCTGTCTGTTATGCTTGAGTCGATAAAGGCAGCCTGATGGACTGAACACGGTCGTATTTCAGTGGAGGCAATTAGATCTCCTTGCACACTGCCACTGTCTAATATGCAGGCTATTTTCCATAAGTACAAAATGACAGTTATATTATTCTTTTAAGTGCATAGCAAACTAGTTTTTTATTGGCAAAGGCCAATCCAAGGTGGATTAGTAGCTGTCGATCTTACTTTCTCTAGTCAAGATCACCAAAGGAAGCAATCCAATGTTGAACAGTCGTATTGGAGTCCAATCAATTACTCCTATAAAAGAATTTCAGGAAGAATATTTTGTACTATGTTCTGTAACTCAAACAAATGCCATTTCATTGACTAAATAATCCTTGTAATCTTTGGAAATGCAGCTTTAGTGTTGGGTCATCCAGGTGCCTAAGTGAGGCACAATAATTCCAAGCCAGTCTTTTTCTTTGATCTCATAAACACTTGAGCAGAACTCTTCTTGATATATCACCTGTGTGACAATCTCTCTTGTTCAGTCTGCTGCTTTGAAAACTGGTTTTGGCAGATCTAATTCATCTGAAAAGTTAGCTGACTAGTTGCTAGTGACTGGCCAGAAGTCCTTTAGCAGCTCTTGACTGTGGTTAAGGACATAACTTTATGATGAGAGTAACTGCTCAACTTTCCTGATGTCAATTTGTTTACTAAGAGCCAAACCTAGTGTTTCTCAGATGTCTGAATCTTCAGATGAATTTAAATACGTGATAAAGTGGATAGGGAGTTTTGTAGTTGGAGCAGGAGAATGCACATTAGCACCTGCGCTATGAAGACAAGTTAAGCATTTCTCTACGATAGCTCTAGCCTGTTACACAAGTGATGGAGCTCTCACTGCAGAGCTGTAGGTGCTAAATCTAGCTCTTTTTTCACAACAGCTGAAATTTTGCTAAGCTAATGAGATTTTTAGTTATTTTGAGATTCCATAGTCACTTAGCTGCAAAGTGAACTTACTAAATGGCAGTGGTTCTCCAGTCATATTTAAGATATATCATGAGATGTATTTTAAAATTCTTCTCTTCTGGTTTCATCTTAAGTGTTTGGGGCTATGTGACAAAATTTTGTCAACAAATGGCTACTTTTAGCCAAGTTACTGTTACCAAAGTGATCTTGTTTTTTAAACTTTCTTTTTGTCTAGTCCAATTTTGCCATGGGCCGGTTACCTTCAACATACCGGAAATGCTACATGTTAGACTTCGGCCTGGCCCGTCAGTATACCAACACCACTGGTGAAGTCAGGCCAGTAAGTACATTTCAAGCAATTTTTTCCTTTTCTGCTATTGCTTAGGCAAGGAAAAACTTTTGTTGGTCTGTTGGTTTTGTTGTTAGTATACTTGAATGTTACACTGAACATATTGGACTTCATTTCCTACAAGGTGAGAAGCAGAATGCAACTTCGAATGAGTTAGCAGTTGAAGAAGGGGTGTTTGCTATTGTCTCACAAGATGCATGGTTTTTTATTTTTTTATTTTTTTTTCCTTCAGGTTCAGTGTGTATTCCACAGGCTAAGAATGCTTACTGACCAAGCAAAGAGGGTGAGCCCAATGTTGGCCACATAACTTCTGTAGCATCAGAGGTCTGGCTTTAGGTCTCTAGGGATGTGATATGGGGATCCAGGTTGGTGGATTCATAAAGCTTTTTACTGAGGGGAAAAAAAGGGCTGGTGTGATCTCTGAGGCTGAGCTTCCTATATGCTGATGGCATACTTGTCTGGCTCTGGTTTTGTGTCTATTGCCCTTTGTCCAGATTTCTAAGTAGCAGTATTTCAGCATGCCTGACTGAAGAGGAGGTAACAGCAGAGAACATAACTTGCACTACCTTGTGTGCGTATTACCTCTGATCCTTTAAAAGCACTGTAATATCTGGGCTCACTCACAAGTGTGCAGTAAGCTTCAGATGCTCTGGTTTCCCCAGCAAGTAGCAATGAGAGCATTCCTAGACTTATTTTGAAACACAATAGTACAAGCTTGGGGAGTTCAGACAATCTCCCTGTTTATTATCATAGGCTGATACTTCTTGGTCTCCTTGTTTTTTCCATGTGTATTAGTTGTTCTGGAAACTGTTAGCAGTGTGAGAGTTAAATTTGGAGAGTCTGTAATGCAGGATAGGGCTGGGGAGTGTGAAGAAAGGAAAGACAGATTGTAGCCAGAGCGGTGGTCAGTGGCTGTGTCTGGTTGGAGATCAGTAGCTAGCGGCATCCGTCAGGGGTCAGTACTGGAACTTGTGCTCTTTAGCATCTCTATGAATGATACTGACAATGGGATTGAATGCACACTAAGTGAGTTTTCAGATGGTACCATGCTGCATGCTGTAGCTGAGACCAAGGGATGGGATGCCATGCAGAGAGACCTAGACAGGTTTCAGCAGTGGGCCCTGGTGAACTTCATGAGGTTCAACAAATCAAGGTGCAAGGTCTTGTTATCAGTACAACCTGGGAATGACTTGGGATTACTGATGTATGGCAAGCTAGATGTGAGCCAGCAATGCGCCCTTGCAGCTCACGAAGCCAACCATATCCTGGGCTGCTTCAAAAGAAATATGGCCAGCAGGTCAAGGGAAGTGATCTGGTCTCTATGCTCTGTGTTGCTGACACCTCACCTGGAATTCTGCATCCAGATGTGGAGTCATCAGTACAGGAGAGACATGGACCTGCTGGAGCATGTCCAGAAAAGGACCACAGAAATGATCCAAGGGATGGAATACGTCTCCTATGAGGACAGGCTGAGAGAGCTGGGGCTGTTCAGCCTGGAGAGGAGAAGGCTCCAGGGAGAGCTGAGCAGCCTTTCAGTATCTAAATGGGGGCTATAAGGAGAAAGGGGCTTCAGCAGGGGCTTCTGTGATAGGACAAGGAGAAATTTTTTCAAACAAGAAGAGGGGAGATTTAGATTACATAAAGAAGTAGTTCTTGTTTTGTTTTACAATAAAGATGGTTGAGGCACTGGCACAGGTTGCCCAGAGAGATGGTGGGTGCACCATCCCTGGAGGCCTTCAAAATCTTTATTAATTGTTGTTGTTTTTTTTCCTGCTCAGGTAGGTTTCATGCTGTTCCCCAAAGTTTCAAGAATTATTATTGTTATTATTATTTTTTTTTTTTAGTACCTTAAATGTTTGCTGTTTTTACATCCTCTGAAATTCATAACATCAGTCTTGCTTGTTATGCTAGAAATATAAATGATGGACTTGGCTGTCAGGACATTGTGGTTTTGATTTTGTTGTGTTTTGGTTTAGTTTTTTGTTTTTATATCTTTGGCCTTACTATTTTTGGTCAGTTTCCTATTTTAAAAACACTTGACTTTCGGGAAGGGAGAAGCCAGCAATTCCAAGGAGCAAAATCCACTGGAAAGTTGTACTGGCACTGTTTGTTGTTGTTGTTTTTAATTATGTATGTGCAATTCACTGCTTGCCAAGTGCTATGGCTTTTTTTTTTTTTTTTTTTTAGCATCAAAAGGCAGGGAGCCCCACAGTAGACGGATAAGATAGGCTGTTTGCCTAAAATGTCTGGTTCTGATTTTTGGTAGATTAGTTGAAATTTTGATGTAGGATCATTTGTGTTCTCCATAATCTTCAGTGAGTGTTAGTTCCTCCATCCTCTAGCTTCTTAGACCCTTATGTGAATACTAGTTTTAGCACAATCTCTACTCGTTGCATGGATTTGCTTTCATGGGAATGGTCTCATATCTCTATCAGTTGTCTCTTGCCAGATCTTCAAAATCTACAGTACAAAGTCTGTAGGAACTTGCATTATATTATGGACAACAAAAGGTTGGAGCCAGGAGGTGTGTAAGGAAGCATCAGCAACATTTTTTTTTTCCCTGTTAGCAATTAGAGGGATTCTAATTCTGTTCTCAGCAGCCACATTGCTTAATATTTCTCTAAGGGTTGTAGAAGTCATTGCTTGATGGTTACTGCTTTGGACAGGTAGAGCAGATGTGCATCAGCCGTTTGTTATCCACTGTGTGCTGAGAACTACTTAGGGCCTATCTGGAGGCTGTTTCTTTGGCTGCCATCAGCATTTCTGGCATCTGTATCACAGTCATCAGCCTGGTTAGCAGGAGGGACTCTGGCTATTATGATAAGCAGGACAGGCTGCCAGTGTGAAAAAATAAAATCTTGTGGAGGGTTTTGTTTTTCAAATGATTGTGAGGATGGAAGAATGAAGGATAAGAGGGACAGCTGACAAATCTGCTTGAGAAGATCCCGACTTCTTTTCTGTTCCAGCCCTAACAGCCATTCTCTCCTGTACGAAAGGTGACAAATGCTGATTAAAATCTAAACATGTAAAAAACATTTAAACATTTGAGAAATTGAAATAAAAAAAAAAAAAAAAGCAGAAACGTTGCTGCCTTCTGTACTGACAATATTCCTATAAAATCTCTGCAGTCCATGTTTGCCTACTAGGAAAGGAAAATTGGGAAATGTAAGTAACTGAGGACAGTGTCATCTTAAGCCAGTCAGAACTTAATCCAGACTGCTGATACATAAAGTACATTTTTCTTCCCTTGATATTTAAAGCAATGCTGTTACCTCATTCAAGACCACTGCCCTTGCTTTTCAAACTCATACTCTTTAGCCTCCCTCAGTATCTAGTTTTTCCGCAGGATTGTAGGTTTGTTACCAGCATGAAGGTTCCTGACCAGATGGGGTGAAGTGGTTTGAATTGGGCAGAACCTGTTTGTTTCTCAGTTATGAAAGGCTTAGAAATCTGCTTAAAAATAGATAGTTTATGGAAGGAATCTGTTACGTCAGCTCCAGTTAATAACTGCTTTCAGATACAGAGGATATTCCTAGGAAAAACTGGATTTGTTTCACCATTGTGATTTTTTTTCTTTTTTTTTTTTTTCACTCTCCCATGAAGATGTGCATTTTGGGATGAATCCCAAGGGTATCCGTAACAAATTTGACATTACAGGATACTGAGACCTTTTGTATGAGTCTAACCATTGTTTCCTCTAAATACAGCCTGCTGCCATGGTTGAGACAGACACAAGAGCAGTCTTATTTACTGCAGTGTCCCATTTGTACAACTGACCTTTGCCATGAAGCAGTGAACTGTAAGCACTTAGTGCTGATGCATAGCTTAGGACAACCAAGCTAAGCAGCTAGAGAGTGGATTGAAAGGTTGCTTTTTCCTCATGCTTCTGCCAAAAGTGTACAAGGGGAAAAAAAAAAGAAGAAAAAAAAAAAAAGAATTAATCTTGCCTTCATTTTTACAGCAGAATGGATCTGATGTAGAGAAATAGGGCTGAGTATTAACCTGGAGGGTTATAAACATGAATGCTGTTATGCAGATGATGTAGCAGTATATGCTCGTACAGTGGAGGTGTGCAGACTCACAAGGGACTTCTGTGCTAATGTAGGTCAGTTTATGGACAGTAACTTCTTGATCGTTACATTGTTCAGGTCTCTTTGGTTTGTCACTAAGTGCTGTACAGACAGTATTATAATTTTCCTCTATGTGTGACACCTTGCCTTGAGAAACATGCAACCTATGGTGCCACAGACATTAATTGAAAGCGATGGAGGCTTTAGCAACTTCATCTCCATTATTTATTTGAAAATACAGGAGAGGAGATGCTGTTTTTCTCTAGGAGCCTCTCTCCTGTTTGCAGGATCTGACACTGGGTTGTTATGCTCAGCAAGCAGATTTTTTTTAGCTTAGTCAGCTGCAGCCCATTGATTAGATCTTTCTCCTCATGGCTCAGACTGCACTGCAGCAGTTTGCAGTGCCTTGCTGAAAATACCATGTGTGTGAGGGTGGCTGTGTGATTCAGTGGGCAGAGAGAAGAGATGGTAGGCAGGACAACGCAGAGCCTGTTCATAGGAGCATGATGAAGGCTGCAGAAACGTGTCCACTAGTTAAGAATATGTCCAAATGTGTGTGCAGTGTTAAAAATGAACTTCACTGCAGTGAACAAGGTTTTAGAAGATGAGAGTATGACACTTTTTTTTCTAATGAGGGGTTTCTAGAAAATGAGTTATTTTATAACACAAAGGAGATTAACTCCTACATCCTAAGACCCCAAATATTCAAACATAAAAGCCCAGTAGATTTCATACTTAATTTTTCTTGAAGCATATAAGATGTAATGTTACTGGTAAGATTAGCATTTTTGCTGTAGAATAAAACAGATTTCTGGAGCTGTAGTACTCAGAGCACTGCATTAGCCTAGGAAGAGAGAAAATTTCTCTTCAACTTCGTATTGTAAAGAAGATAATTGCAGAAAAGGCTAACAGCCCAGAACTGTCACATTAATTCATATAGGGATGAGAGGAAGGAGAAGAGTGGACCTATGTCTAAAAAATACTGCACATTTAATGTATTCTAAAATGCAATTTCTGTGGGAATGGGTTAGTTGCAGAGCATTATTGAACATTAGAACTAAAGAACGTTTCAGATAATTATGTAAAGGCTCTTGTTGCTCTTGTTGGAGTACCAAACTTAGAGTTCAGAAGGGAGATTGTGTTGTTTTAAATCATCACATCTAAAGAAAATCAGTGTGGTTTAAAAGTATCAGAAGCAGACCAGCTGATAGATTTCCAGGTGATTAGCACGCAGATACTCTTGTACCTTGTCCATTGTAACTGGCTGTTTCTTTGCTTTCTTCACCTGGAAGCCCTGGTGTAGGAAGTATAACCTTGGACTACCTGTATCAGGTTGCTGTGATTTTTTTTTTTCCTCATGTAGCAGCTCTCTAGTTAGAACTTTGTGGTACAGGGCTGGGGGGAAGGAAATGCAACTCAGGCTCAAATCTCATATATGCCTGAAGGGGGCTATGATCCCATTTTCCATTTCTGAGTGCCTGTACTGCTAAGCTGCATGGGAGTTGTGGTACCTCTGAATGTGTCATTCCTTCTGATTGGTGCTGTGCCATCTGAAGTTCTGAGCGCTTTCCACTGGTCTACAGAAAGAGGAATGGGAAGCTATTACTGTGTTCAGTGGTCAGGGAACAGGGGCAAGTGAATGCTGAGTTGGGTTTATAGGTCAAGTCTTTTCTACATCAGGTAAGTGCATTTGCTGTCAGGTAGAAGTGTCTGTCAAACACTCCCTCTGTGATTGAAATATTAAATTAGTCTGTGCAAAATGGATCTTTTCCAATGTAGATGTTGTTAGTCTTGCATCTTAAGCATACTGTAGCTTAGGCATACGAGTGTGCTCTGGAAGGAGGGAGGTTTTCACGTCGTATGGAGGTGGGGGGGGTTGAACTCTGTTTTCCTGTGTAAGAAACAAGTGTGGCAATTAAATGTTTGGAGGCTAAAGTTGTCCTGTTCAAGAATCAAGTGATAAATAAGATTATGGCTGGAGAAAGCTTTTGATTAAAAAAATAAATAAAAGTTGGTCACTCTTACCCCGCTTTCTAATGCGAGGAGAGGCATTGTTGTTCTCATCTCCTGCACAAATTCTAGCACGGGAATTTTATATGCTTAGCCTGTTGGCACATTGCTTGAAAAGACAAAGTGATCCTTTTGCTCTTCTTTTATGTTAAAATCCACTGAAATTTTCAAGTTTACCAAGAATGAAGAATGAAAGAATGTTGTCTTTCTAACTCACCTCTTCGTATGTTTTGGTTTGGAAATAATGCTACAAGAAACTCTGTTGGGTTGTTGGCTTTTGATTAATTGTTTTCTGTTGGAATATACAACTCTCAGCCAAGGTGTTTTTTTTCACTTTACTGAGTTGTGTTTCAATATACTGTTAGCACTGGCCTCTGATCAGAGTGGTCTTTGCATTTTTATATTATGCAAATCAGACCTTAAGATAAAGTGTCTGCTCACGTGGCCTAAAAGCAATACTGACATTCATTCTGCCCTCTTACAAACCACCTTTGTGCTTCTCACCACAGCCAGCAGAGATCTAGCTTTCTAGGTGGGGTGCTGCAGCAAGCCTGGGAAAAGGGAAGTTGCCTCAAGTTGACAGCTCTAAAACCTGTGATGTTGGCGAAGTAGTGATAGTAAGAATGCTGGTGAGGGAAGGAAAAAAAAGTAAGGTGGTGGCTGTAGAAATAACTAGAAAATTTGGGTGGAAACTCATAAATAATCAGGCAAGGGGATTTTTCTTCATTTATAGAAAATAAGACACTAATATTAGAACTTGCACTGGGTGGAGAGGATAGGAGATGCATTAAGGGCAAACCTGCATGCTGGTTACTATGCCAGTTGGATTGTGGGAGGAGAGGAGGTTTAGGTATCAGATAATTTTAGGAAGGAAAATCACTGTAGGACTGTATGACTGGTCTGTGGTTAGGCTGTAAGCATCTCTGCTCTTGAATTTGTATTTTATACTTATGATCAGGAATAATCAGGGAGAAGTCCCTCTCTAGAGGGACCCCTCTCACTACTTACAGAGCTCTCTTAACCCGCACTGAAAGTTCTGTGTCTAATTGGAACCACATACGCCATGGAGGCAGCAGCCATGAGAGGATGATGGGGGATGACAACAGCTAAGCAAAATGCCCAGGTTTCTGAATGGATGCAATATTGAATTGTTTTTTAATTTGTTTTTTTCCTCATTTTGTTGTTTTTTTTATCATGTTTTTCTTTGGGTTTCTCTCTGTTTTACAGTTCTTTTGAGCTCTTCTTTTGAGGCTGTGTTTGATGCGTTGGCTTCCCATCCGCTGCTCGTAACCATCTCTGCTATGAGTTGTGAGTGAGCCATCATCATGCTTCTGGGTTTTCATTTTGTTTTGCTCTTTTGTTGTATATGGAAGTCTGATTACACCTGGTTTTATTTTTTTCCCCTCATGATATGTTTGCTTTTCAGCAGGATCGTGACAGCTATCTAAATGTGCTGCAGAAACCTAGAGCACTTGGGGTTTTGCTTAAGGGGTTGGCAGATGGGTGGTACCAGAGACTGTGGTTTTATCACTCTTGTGGCTTCAGAGGCAAAGGGAGGGGAGTTCTCTCATCTGACACTTTTGACTCCAGATTTTTCTGTTTATTCATTTCTAACTCCCTGTTGGACAAACTATGCTGCTGTCATTAATAATTCTGCAGTGTAGTACTGTTTAAATTAGTATCTCAAAATGTATGCGAAAGATGCGGAATTTGACTCCACAGGAGATGTGGAGGTTCAAATCACTGTGTCTCCTTTTAGGCCTGACCAATGGAAGTAGAAAATCCCTTGTACTTACCAGGATGTTGGCTTTTTGTTTATTTAAGGTTTCCTTTTTTTTCCTTTTTACTCCAACTTTTCCAGCAAGTTATTTCAATCCAAGATATATCTCCAAGTGTTTCCTGTGATCTGTGACACTTCCTTCCTCCCCTTAGCCTCTTCTCTCTGGTCTGCGCTAGCTTTCCTTTCATTTTCTTCCTGTTGGAAATCCCTTTCCTATTTCCATGACTGATTAACTGATCCTAGATGACAACAGTCCTGCCAGAGGCGAAGGTGGTGGGTCTCATGAGATGTTTGCACAGGTTGGGGAGGAACCAGCAGTCATGTTCTATTAGAATACCGCAGGAGTAAGAAACAGCAGGAGGAAAGTACTGGCATCCAAATGTAAGTTATTAGGAATGGAGATGGAGATCAGGGCCTTCAAAGTTAGCAATCTACAGAACAATGAGATGAGAGAAAAAGTTTCAGTGTGTAGGAAGAAAGGTAGTGTAAGAAGCAAAGATTCTGGTTCATGATGAAATAGGAATGTTCCTGAATTAAAGTGAGCATTTACGAGAAAGGTAAATTTAATTTGAATCATAAGGGAGACAGAATTGGCCCTTTTAATACAGGTGGTCAGAAGTGTTTAAAATGCAGAATGAGGAAATATTCACGGGTGCAAAGCAGGACACAATTTGGGAAAATGTACCCACTTTGTACATGGGTTACTCTGAAAGTAATGTCTCCTATTTATTTCCTAATGGAAACTACAACAGACACAAAGGAAAATATAACACAGAACTCTCAGCTGCAAAGCATTGTTTTTTTCAACAAGGTCACCACCTACATACCTTTGCAAGTGACCAGGAGCCTGCAATTCATGCTTATAAAAATCTGCACCACTGTTTCACGGCTGTTATGACAATGTCATTGCTAGGAAAATGTTGTCCATGTTGTTCATCTTTAATTGAACTAACAGATGGAAGTCAGAAGGCACCAAATCCAGACTGTACTGTGGGTGGCTGTGGTAGGATAGTCCAGCCAAGCTGTTCTCCATCATCTTCAGATTGGTAGGGGGCCTGACATTATTGTGTTGGAAGAGAAAGGTTGTCTTCTTTTCTGGCCTGATCCTGGAAGTTCAAGCCTTCAGCTTAATCAGCATAATCAGCATTACAACTTGATAGTTTGTCAAGGTTCCAGGAAATTCAGGAGGATCATCACTTTCCTATCACAAAATACACTGCACATGGCCTTAGCTGCTGGGGCTGTCTTGAACTTTTTCTTCAATGAGGAGTTCACATGTTGCCACTCTGTGGACTGCTGTTTTGACTCTGGTGGTGACACCATGTTTCACCACGCTAATGATGTGATTCAGAAAACTGTAATCTTCAGCCTCATTTCAGTAGGTGCTGACAAACTCTACACAGTGTTCTGTTCCTGTGTGAGCGTTCATTGTGCCTACCTGGTGCAAACTTCTGTGATATTCCTATGTTGCCACCATCATTTCTAGTACATTAAAGCCGATATTCAGCTCCATGTGCAGTTCCCTGGTTGTAATCTATCAGTTCACATGGATGAACTGATCAAGACCTTCATTTTGTTGTGTGACAGCTGGGCATGGCCATCCAAAAAATGGTTTATTTTTCAAATCACTGTTGTTACTGCTTAAACACACCTGACTGTGCTCACATCCACTGTTTGATCTCTTTAAATGTGAAGCAAGCAGCAACTGAATGTGGGTGCCATTTTTCCCACGTGGGGGAATTCAGTTCCACCCCTGCTTCATACACACTTCCATGTCAGACACAATCTGTCCCGTGGCGACAAAATGTAGTGGGACATTGGTGGGAATGTTCAACCTCTACTGCCATACCAGCAACATTTACCTCTGGTGTCATGGGACAGTGTAATAAAATAGGAGCCATTACTTTTGGAGCAGCCTTCATACATGATGCTGTCTGTTGTCTATGTTGTAGTACATTGCCCATATATTGAAAGGAACACAGTGTAACTGAGACACTGCAGTGCACTTCATATCTCTGTCATCTCCCTGACAGCTCTGTGTAATAAATTACTTTTGCACACAATCTGAATTCAGGGGACATGCTTTATCATGAATAACGTTTTTCATAGTAATACTGATGTGGGAAAAAATTTTAAAAAGTCATCAGCTTGTTAGCTTCTTATTTTCCTGTTAGCTGGAGGATTTTTGTCAGTTATGCTATACACGATTCCACAGTCTGTCAGAACTTGCAGAATTTCAGTTCTGTGTCTGGTGTGGACAGCTCTGGACAGCTGGGATGGTTTATCCAGGCCATTCTTCACTGCTGGGCAATGTGGTGGTGAGATGTGTTTCTTTTTTTTTTAAACATGAAGAAGTGAGGTATGCAAAGAGATCAGAAGAACTAATATCGATGAATTCAGAAGATAAGTCAGCAGTTGGGCAGGCAGGAGCACTTACTGTTCGGATGGAAAATAAGTTATCTCCTGCTTTCCCCAGTCATGGGAACATTTAATTGCAGTATTTAGTGACCCAGTTGAAAAACAAAACTAATTGTCTCATGAGTGGCAGGGTTAAATGTGGAGGGAAAGCCTTTAGGAGGAAAAAATTGTTAACATACATAACGTTTATCTATTTTGTTTAAAGTTCTGAACATCCTGTCAAAACAATTGCGAAGTCTTGCGGTGATCTCCTGCAGGCAGCAAATCAGAGAGGACTGGGGAGAGAGCTTATTGGATTCAGCTGCAGGTCTGGCTTGTGAACTGTTTCATAGCAGTTGCTGGGCAGAAGCTTGGTTAAATGATGGGTGAGCATTTGTTTCCATTCTGAAAGAAAAGAACAAACCTGCAAACTGCCTGGGATCTGGTTTTGGAATAGATATAATTAAAGAGAGTACTCTGTTACTAACAGTAAGTATTGATCTAAGTAATATTTTCAGAGATATTGCCAGCCATACTGAAATCAGCACCTGATACTTGGCTCCATGCATATAGATCTACATTTGATATCTGAGGACATCTAAGTAGGAATAGAACATAAAAGACAATCTTCCCCGTGCTACAGAAATTGAACGATGTTTGTTCTGAAAGCATTGTAATTATGCACTGGAATTGTGACTATTATGAACAATTCCTAATATACTGTTATTTTATAGCTCATGAAAAATTTCCACTCGCAATGGCAAAGAGGAATGAATGTCCTCTTCAGGACCGCTGTCCTATAGAGGTCAGCTATGTAGAGGTCAGAACTGTGGTAAAGAGTGATTCCAACATATTGTTCAGTGGCAAGCATTCTGCTTTTCAGAAACCTGTATTGGTGAATTCAGTGCATACTGAAAGGTATTTTGCAGTAATTTGTCAGTAGGCATCCTAAATGTATGCTCTGGGAGGAACAGATATATGGTCATGAAAATCATATCTTGAATATTACCAGTGCTAAATAAATACTTTACAGTTCAAGCTGTTGAACTGCAAGATTATATGCTGTGTTAAGTGTGTGGCAGGTGTGTATGGGTTCTGCTTGTGAAATGTGACTTTTTGTTTGGAGTCACTGTAACTGCAGAGCTGCATTATGCATGCTATTCAGGTGCATATTAGCAGCATGGTGTTGATGATCTTGTTTAAAACATGCTCCAATTTTTACTCTTTGTGAGAGTTTTGAAATGTAGAGCTTTCCTGTATCCAGAAGGAAATAATTGACTTGTATGCACTTAAACTGACATAAGTGTCCTAAATAAAAGCACAGTTTTAGGCTTCACTCTGAAAGCATAGGCACAGGTGAAAAACAAACAGAAATCAACTGACCTAAGTGGGACAGCTCATCCCAACAGAATGGGTATTGGTGTGCTCAGATTTCTGCAAGAATAGCATCTCACTTAGCATCATTTTCAACACTTAGTGCTTTGCCTAGGCTTAGCTTTAAGGTGCCTGAACCTGATTTTGCCACATGAATTTTGAAAGCTCTGCTGCTAACTCTGGGCCTTCTAGCTAAGCTGAAAGAATTTGCCAGATGCCATTATTTAAATGCAGTCTTTTCGGAATAAAGGAAGTCACACTGTGAAAAGTAATGTCCTTGTAGAGACGGCATTGGGAAGAGTTGGGGGTGTTGCTCAGCCCCTCCAGCTCCGAATAAAAGTCAGAGGAGGGCTGCCTTTTTCCCAGAGTACCTTTATCAAGCCTTCACCTCCCAGGGGACGTGAAAATCAAGAGAATCAGAGCAAGAAAAACTAAACATACTGGGGAAAAACTGGTGAGGAGAAAAAAAAAAATAAAAAAAATCATGTTGACAAACAGTGTCAGCAAAGTTGTACACATGTCAGGGGATTCTCGTTCTTGTCCTGAGCAGGCTGCCCTCAAACTTTGCTTTGCTGTTGTTATTCCGACTGAGTTTTGCACTAGCATTTCTGTGCTAGCTTTTTCCTTGACCTGGGGTTGAAAAGGGAAGTTATAATCCTGGAAAATATTCTTATCTCTTTCTACTACTGCTGTTCTAACCTATCCCTGTTGTAACTTTTCCTTCTGTGTAAAATAAGCTTTTACGGAAATGCAGAATCTCAGAATGCTACACAGGTGGCCGCTAGAGCAGATGAGAGCTTTGTATCCCTTGGGTCTGTAAGATGAATGTAGAAGTTCTCAGCAGGTAGCTGCATGTAGGATTTAGTAATCTGCTCTTTCTGAAATGTTTCTGTTGTCTCCCTTCAGCCTCGCAACGTTGCTGGTTTTCGAGGAACGGTCCGTTACGCTTCAGTGAATGCACATAAAAACCGAGTGAGTATTTCTGGGCTATGAAGGGTTAAACACGAGTTTATTTCTCCCCAGGAAATTGTTCTCGGGAGCAGAGGCTTAAAAGCTGTGAGTTCTGCTTTGTAGCTTATGTAAGTAAATCATCTGAATTCCATTAGGATGTCAAGACTGTTTTCTGTAAAATCAAAATTATGATTCAGTTATTGAATCCTCTCAAGTTGGTAAACTTCGTGATTTTCATTATTGCATTATTGGACACTGATTAAGAGGAAAAAACTCCCACTGATGCAGTTACCAGTGTTACCTTACAGCCTGCTCACTAATTTCCAGCACTACTTGACTGTGAGACGAGTGCCAGGTCCTCACATCCATTTTCCCCCTGGAATTTTGGATTTTAGCAGCATGCCCTCAAGTGAAAAGTTACTTAGTGGAACTCCAGTTTACTTTTTTTTTTCCTGAAGATAACCATTATTTCCAGAGGATCTGACATGTTTCATTCTGAACACTTCCAGAAATCTCATCCACCATTTTTCTCAAAACATTCTTGTCCTATGGCAGTAATGCTTCCTATGTAGAAGTGAACTATAAGTCCTCTGGTCCTGCTGCAAAGTGCTTGCCAGATGAGAATTATCAGCCCTCCTCCAGCTTTCCAGCATCTTAACTGCTGTAGCTTTTTGAGGCAGTGTGTTTGTAAATGTAAATTGGTATTGAATACATTAATATTCTGCATTGATAGTTCTAATCATTGCAGTATTCTATACGTGGTGGAAGTCATCTTGGAGTTTTTGCTTACAGTCTTGTTATGACAGACTGAGTCAGTGGCTCAGCCATTTGCAGACCTGTAATAAATAGGTCTAGCAGGATGCTGTTACCTAAAGAGTGTTTTTATTCACCTCATCCTCTGCCCTTGTCATAAGCACCATATTCCCATACCTTTTCCCATAGTGATCCTGGCACTTGAACTTTCATCTGAAAGAGTATTTGCTATATACAGCATACATACATACGTATGTGTGTATGTGTTTTACATATGTATGTACCAACACACAGGTATATATAAAAACATAGGGGTTGAAGGAAAAAAAAAACAACCATCTGCTTTAGTTTTCTGCTTGCAAAGGGGTCCTACAAGTGCCTGAGCTGGTGCAAACTAAGATATATTGTCTCTGTGATATGTAATCTTTCCTGATTCTCATTTTTCTAGTATGTGCTGGAGAGTATTTGTGATAGAGGGCCATACTGAAAACAAAGCCCCCCATAATTAGGAAATAAACAAAGATAAAGCTTTTTCCAAATAGTTTACTCTGGGCTGACTCTGAGACATGGTTCTTCAGATTCCTTTGATATGTCAGAGAATTCTATTCCTACTTACAAAGTACTTCTGTAATTAGTGTGGCCCAGAGCTCACTATTCTTAGAGTCTCTTTGTAGCTACCTGTAAATTCCTTAAGTTTGAAAATGAGGAGGAGGAATCTGCCAGCAGCTGAACTTTCAGAAAAGCTTTAGGAAAAACAGTTGGTTTTTTTCTGAGAACAGGACTTACAAATTCAAAATTACTTTGAAACACCATCCTTCTGGTGAGGAACAAAGGTCTGAGTTGTATTAATTCAGATGGGTGTTAATTATGCTTTCTTCTGTCCTTTAGCAGTTGTCTGAATGTGGTTTTATTAAAAATAAATCTGTAGGATATCTCATTAAAAATCAGACTTGTGAGGAAGATTCAGGTTGTTTTCCGAGGGGAGGTTACTGGCTGTAAGACGTCATTGCCAAAGGTGGAAACAGTGATACAGGGTGGGCAGCTGAATGCCATAATGTTTTCTGATGGATACTGATAAAACTGAAGTATGATTTTGGGAATTTTCAGCTGTAGCTGACATCAGCTGAAGTTCTATTTAGATACAGACATTGCTGCTTAATGCATGCTGTTCTGAGAGATCGTAGTCTGGATATTGTATGTTGAGCACCAAAAACAAATTCACTTGCTTTATGTTTCAATTTCCCATTTGCTAGGCCAGAAGGAGGGTGGTATGGGGAGAATCTGGAAGTTGTTGTGGTGCTTGATTATGAGAGTTTTAAAAAAAGCCCTTGAGTAAATGCTGTCTTTTGAAAAGAGTCGGAATGGTACTTTACTTAAAAACAATGATAAAGAAGACTTTCTCTACACTGTTTGGGTTTTTTTTCTTTATCTAATTTGTTCTATATCCTCTTAATAAATATTCTGTATGCTAAGTGAAGGAGAATCCTGTGGAAAACTGTTCCGCAATGTATTCAAAAGTAGAACAAATGAAGTTATTCAGGCGACTGTGTTGACATTGCCCAGTTTAGTAAATGCTTGATTTTGCGTCATAAATCTTTAATCTGGCTTCTTTAATCATGTAATGGGAAGTATGACTTCTCTCCCTGCTTTTTAAAATGAGGTAGCTCATCTGGAGAGCACATCTGGACCACTGAGCAGCATGGAACTTTGCTCCTCAGTCTTCGTCTCTCTTTTCTCCAGGAGATGGGTAGGCATGATGATCTGTGGTCCCTCTTCTACATGTTGGTGGAGTTTGCAGTTGGTCAGCTTCCATGGAGAAAGATCAAAGATAAGGTAAGAAACTTAGCATCTATACTTGAGACAGGGTGCTCCCTTTTTGTTAATAGCACTCGTACTATTCCTGTTTTTCATCAGATCTTGCTGCTGCATGCTGACCTGCTTTTGTGTTCTGTCACACGCCAGTGTGGAGTTTGCCTTATTTGGGATGCACGTTGTTAATCATATTGGATCAAGCAATTTTGATCTTACAAAGCAAATAACAAAAGTGGAAAGGCTGAATATGAGCTGTCCTTTTTACAAAAAAAAACAGAGCCTTTAGAAAGGAGTAAGGATAACACTGGCATGGAATGCAAGCCAAATGGGAATTGCAACTGGAAAATTGAGTAACTGTTCATGTTACAATGAAAATAATTCATGCTTGAGAACAAAGTCCCTGGGAAGAAATATGTTACCTGTGCAGTAGATTCTGCTAAAGGGACAGCTTCTGAAGAGTGCTTCTGACTTAGGATTCTCCTTTGGCCTTTTTCTGCAGTGGTCTACCTTCCTGTGCTAGGGATATCAAAACAAAGTGTCTAGCCAAAATGCTGCTTCTACGAATCAGCTGTGTTTTGGGAATGACAAGACTGGATGGTGTTTCAGGAATTGTAAGACAGAGGAAGTCTGAATGTCATGCCATGATTCTTGGATCTGAGATATCTTATGTTTTCCAGGAGCAAGTTGGCATGATAAAAGAAAAGTATGAACATCGAATGCTGTTAAAACACATGCCTTCAGAGTTCCACCTTTTTCTGGATCATATTGCAAGCTTAGACTACTTCACCAAGCCAGACTATCAGGTAGGAGCCTGTCTTTGTTGCCACACTAATGCATAACACAATGGATTGGTATTTGCTTTTTCCAATTTTTCCAGACATATGTTTATATCTGACTGATGAACACCTTCCTAGAACCAGGAGGAAAGGATCCTTACATTCTGTACCATCCTTCAGCATCTCAAAACTTTCTTCTCCTTCTTGCCCGCTCAGCCCAAAATAATCCCTTTACTCCAGAACAGAAAGCTTTTCCCAAAGCAGCAGTTTGCATTAAAGCACAAAGGTTGTGAGATAGTCCAAGCATGGCAAAATTTTAGTGCAGCTTGTCAAACTCTGCAAAAAGCCTCTGCCACCAGCTAAATGGTGCACACCAACCCTTTTAGTTTCTTGCAGATCCATGTGAGCCTTAACTCTTGAGGATCTTTCTTTAATATTCATCTTAACATTTTTTCTCCCATGCCGTGTTTGCTATTAGCTTGTATGTGATCAATTACAGTAGTTAACTAACACAATGCAACTGAAGCAGCTTGACTCTGTTTCCCTTTTTTGTCACAATGCTTTCCACATTAAAGCCAAAGCGATGAAAACATGATTTTATTAGCAAACCTGTGTAGTCTTATGTGAGTGACTGCTCCTGCTGATGAGTGGGAAGATGTGCTTTTGTATGTTAGCTATGGACTTGTTCAGCATAGCAACCACAACTCTTTTCTTTTAGGTTTATTTGGGAATGAAAACCAGACACCTTCTGGATAGTACAGTGGAAGTGTAACATTCGCAACCGAAGTGGGAAGCTGGAAAGCAGTGATGGTGGACTGAGAAGAGGCTGAGGGGGCTGGGTTTCTTTAGATCTTTAGAAAGGGCAAGAGGAGATCTAATTGCTGTTTTTCACTATTGTCAGGGGCTGCAGGGAGAAGAGAGGCAGAGAGGCAGATTTTTCTCAGAGGCATACAGTGAGAGGCAGCAAGCGGAAGTCACATCTAGGGATATTGGGGTTAGTTCCAGGGGGAAAATCAGAATGAGGGTTGTTATGTGTGGATCAGATACTTAGACAGTCTCCATCCTTAGAGATTTCCAGAAGTCAATCGAATCAAGACCCTGAGGCACCAGATCTGACTTTGTAATTAGCCCTGGTTTGAGCAGATGGCTGGATTAGTGATCTTCAAAGCTCCTTTTGAATCTATATCCTCCTATCGTTCTATTCCAGTGTAAAATAACCGTACTGTATTGAAAAGCCATCCTTGAGATGGAAGTGAAAGGGGATTTTTCCGGACCATTTTAGTGCACTCCAAATCATGAACAGCTTTTTCTCAGTTGGGGATTTGTCTTGAAGCTGTGAATTGCCTCTTTGCCCTCAGCTTCTTGCAGGTGCAGCTCTGGAAGGAAGCCTACAAAAAGAACTCTCCACATAAATCTGGCACCTGCAGCTCAGCACCGAACAGTGATTCTTCTGGCTTGACTGGAGGCATAATCCAGCCAGCAAATTCTCCAAACATCTCAGCTTCAGAGATGTCCTTTGCATTCTTTTATCTGGTTTTATTACTGAGAAAAATGTAAAAGCATATCAGATGGCATCTGAGTTTGATGCCAGTAGCAGGCTCTCAAAGAAGTTAAGGAACTGGGCAGAGATGTCTATTCAGATATGAAGTCGTGGTTTATTTACAATGTGGAATGATCAGAAATAAGGAAACAGAATAAAATATGTATGAATATAATGTTACTGTTTCTCTCCTTAACTTTTGAATATATTTCAATTTTGGTATACATACTAATCACCTGGTAAAGATCAGGATTCTGAACGCTGTCCAACAGCTGGACAGGCTTGGTTTTGTAGCTGTTCAGTTCTGGTCAGTCTCCAGGTTAGTCTCTGAGAGAAATTTCTGTGAAAGTCCAACTGCTTTGATTGGAGATGGTGTTTTTCTGGCCTTGTAGCATGTCTCCAACAGTACTGGGTGTTGGAAGATAATAAAAGAACAATCATTCAGTGATGTTTTTTCCAGAAAATTCTCCAAGCTTGAAAATCAGGGACCTTTGAGGCTTAAGAGTCACCCCATCCAAATATGTCTGCTTCTTGTAGTCCTCAATGAATCTGTGTTTTTTCAACTTGTCCTGTCTCATCCTGGACTTATGTAACCCTTTAGCATCCACCATGTTGTGTGACAGAAATGATCCATGGCTTAAGTGCTTACTGCTTGAAGGGCTACATCTTTCTGCTTATTCTAAACTTGCCACCTGCTAGTTGCAAGTGCCTTTCTTAAGAGACTTTACATTGTGGACAGAATTGTGAGCACTGGATCTTTATCTCCTCTCCCAGGTCTTGTAGACCTCCATGGTGTAGCTTTGCAATTCAAAACTATTTAGTTGCACAGAAGGAAATCTTTCCACACCTTTGATCCAGTAGCATGAAGTTCTGGTAGAATCCTTCCTCTCACCTCCATCATTATGAAGTGGGGAATGATGCATAAACTCTGTGTGTGAGCCTCCAATTACCAGATCATTCTGTCTGCTCCTTTCTTCTTTGCTGTCTGGAAGCTGATGTATTGTCTCTCTGCCTTCTCCTGATGTATGTCTTCTGGCTTTACAGAATGCTGCGTATCATAGGATGCTTTTGGCTTTATTAAGAAGCCAAGCAAAACATGGGTGTAAGAAGAGCCATATTGGGTCAGTCCTTCTCTTCTTGTTCCTCTGTAACTGAAGAGAGATGCATGGGGCTTGACTGCTGCTGTGTGCTCCTTGCTCTCAGTTGTCCATTCTATGAAGTCTACAGTCTTTATCTGCAGCTTAGCTGCTCTCAGCATCTGGAATTGTCTACGTAGGCAAATGCCAGCAGGAAGGGGAGAGTGGTAAAATATCTGTAGAGTGATAAAATACCTGTAGCCCTCACCACCATCTTGCAGCACCCATGAAAGAAAAAGCAACTGCATCTCCTATTTATGCACGATTTTTATCAGCATTCCAGGAACAATGTTTTAGGGGTAGAAGGCTAGGTGAATACTTCAAATCAGTCATCCTTGCCTTTTTTTCCCCATACCATCCCTTCTCCCTATTGTTGGGTTTTTATTGGGTTAAAAAAAAAAAAAAAGAGAAACTTACACTACTTACCTTTCAGCTGTACTTCTCTCCCTCCAACTCCCCCTTAATCTAACTTGTGGCTTTTTGTCTGTGTGAATTCTTCCAGCTCTGTAATTTTTCTCCCTGTACCTTTGTCCCTATGTGATTTTTTTTTTTCTCTGTGTGTTAGGCAACGTTTGTCTTCCTTTGCCTTAACCACACTTCTGTCTTTCCCCTACAAGCTCTGAGTGCTTTCTGCACCTCCTGACCATGCACTTAGGCAACTGCTCCCACACAAAGATTGAAATCCTCTTTTTATGCACCCAGCATTACTACAGTCCTTACCACTTCCTATTTTAGCACCTAGCCAGGGAATCTTTCTCACCTTGAAGAGAAATGTTGTCATCTGAGTTTTTCTGGGGAAGTTCTGCCCTCCTTTAGCTGGACCTGGCTGAAGATGGAGCCTCAGGATAGAGAGCACTGAGGTATGCAAAGAGCATGAGAGAGCCCTCTCCCACTGTCCGTGTTCCTCAAAATGAACTCTACCTCTAAGGACAGTATCTGCAGAGGCCCTCAGGTAGGAAACAACTTCTGTGGTCATGGAGAGGACCAGTCTCAGATGGAGACTGCTGTTCTCTCCTTCTGTCCTTCCATTATATACAGTCTGTTGTGTCTGTATGATAAATACAGATTGCAGGCTGATGTATATACATCTGTTCAAAAGGGAAATATTTCTCTAAACACTGGAGAAAGGTACAATTACATTTGCAGTTGCCTCAATAAGAACATCCAGGATGGGGTGAAAGTCTGATAACAAAGGTGGAGGTAGTCAGGAAAAGCAACTTTCTTTGTTGACTTCTCTCTGATCTGACTTTGAAACTGGATCTGATTTCAAGGTTAGCAATGCTTTGAATACAGATTGGACTGTCTGAAATCCCTTGCTAATCAAAGCTATTGAATTTCAGCCTTCTGTATATGTAGCATCTCCTGCTTGAGGCTCTTGCTGCACCCCTTAGCTGAAATCCAGTATAACCGAGGGATTACTTGTCTTCTTCCTTCTTAGCAGAAAGAAACTCAGGGTGGGAGGCCTGCAGTGACTGTAGAGGCTACTGTGATTCCTGGTGGTATCTTGCACGCAGACAGAAAAACCCTAGATATAGTTACTCTTTGCATGACTTCTGAAAGCAGTGGTTAGAAAAGAATGGTTTCATTGGAAAGAACCTACACGGATCATAAAGTCCAGCTGCTTTGGATGGTTTCAGAGCTATCCAAAAGTTAATGTACTAGTAAGAGCATTATCCATAAGGTTCTTGATCACTGACTGGGGCATCAACCATTGAGGCTGATACAGTGACTGACCACTCTCATGGTACAGAAATGTTTCCTGTTGCCCAGTCTGACCTTGCCCTGATGCAGCTCTGTGCTGTTCCTTTTCTGCCATTGGTTTCCAGGAGCAGAGCCTGGCATCTCCCTCTGCTTCCCCTCCTCAGGGAGCTGCAGGGAGCAGTGAGGTCACCTCTTCACCTCCTCTTCCACAGACTGGGCAACCCAAATGTCCTCAGCCTCTCTTTATAGGGTGTGCCTTCCCATTCTGTTAGCAGCTTTCTTGCCCTCCTCTGAGCTCTTTCAAGGACCTTAACATCCTTTTCATATTGTGGAGCCCAGAACTGCACACAGTATTTAAGGTGAAGCCAAACCAATCCTAATTAGTTAGAGAATCACCCCTTTTGAGGTTGGTGTTGAAACTGTGCGGTGCCCTCCACTTTCCTGCTTATAAAGCTTTGAACTTTCTTCAGGAATAGAAAAGGTTTAGAAAGGCTGAGAGTGATCAGCACGACCATGGAATAGCTTTAGAACAGTGACAGCTAAGGATACAGTATTGGGGGGAAAAAAAGAAAAACATAAAAAAAAACTATTGGGAGTGCAATAGATGCCTGTAAAATCCCAAATAGCCTGCAAAGTCATTTGCAACTTTTAGTAGAAGAGGCTATAGCAGAAACTAACAAAAATTGTTTTGGCTCAGTTGGGGCCTTGAAGGTGTGAGGAAATGATAAGAATTCACTTCTGCTTTTAGCATGTGATATCTTACTTCAGACTGCTTCACTATCAAAGCAGTGGAAGGTAAGGAAAGTGGTACTGGTTCTTAAGTGGCTTCAAAAAATGCCTGTCCCTGGCACTGACATGTACATCACAAATAATCAGGAATATAGTAAAGACCCCAGGGTTAGAGGACAGATGAGCGAGAGTAATGTAATGCTAGTTAGTATGGCTTTTATAAGGGCAGTCTGCCTGCTGATGTGTAGAGTTCTTGGAAGGAGTTTTTGAGCCTGTGGGCAAAGGCTCTATAAATCGTGCTTTAATGGTAATTTCTAAAAGACATCAGGCAGACCTTGCTAGGTTCCGAGTCAAACTAAGCTCATTAGGAATAGCAGGGAAGCTTCTCAGATGAATAAACAGATAGTTAACAAGTGAGAAGTGAAAAGCCATTTAAAGGAGGTTACTGGTGTAATTAACAGAGCCCTGGGTTTGAACCAGGTTCTTCCAAATGGTCAGAAAATCGTTTGGAAAAGAGAGTAAATACCAAAGTGATGAGTGTCACTTACACATACCAGTTGTCCTAAATAACAAAGAAAGACTGTTGACTTAATGGAAATGAATGGGTAAGAAAATAGCAGATGAAATTCAATGTAGGTAAATGTCTCATATTGTGTATGTAGAAAAGGAATGTGAATCTAACCTCTGTGCTGGGCTTTGTCTTGGCGTTAGAAGAGATTGTTCTGGGAGAGCTTATACTCAGTGCTCAGTAACACTCAGAAAGCAAACAAAACCATAAGGACAATTCCAAGTACTATTAGAAGATAAACATGTGAATCTGTACGATGCATATTTCTTAAGTACTGTTTATACTTCCGTACCTGAATCATAACAAGGATAAATTTAAATCAGGGAAAGTGTAGTGAGGAGGGGGTAACAAGGAACTACAGATACATCGACTTCTAGACACAGAAAGATGAAGTAGACTAGGACAGCACATTCTGCAAATGAGAGGACTGGCATGTACATGACATCTTTAAAATCAAAAGTAGAACTGCAAAGAATTGTTTTCTGCTTTTTCTAACATGAAAATGAGAAACTGCCATATGAAGTTAGCAGATGGCAAATTTAAATGAACAAAACAAATAGTTCACGTCATTGGTGAATTCTTTGCCATGAGATCTGTGTAGTTCAGAAGCTTATGTATTCAATAAGTAACGGGGCAGATTCATGAGAAGATGTCCAAGGTTACTAAATACCAGAAATGCATTTACTAAATAGCAAGAATTACTCTTTATTTGCTTACATTCAGTTTTGAGCAAGTTCCATGTCAACCGTAGCAGCACAAGTCCTGTTTCTATCAAAGGTGAAAGGAAGTATCATGAGATGAGGCTAACAGAAATGCAATCCTATCATATTTAACTGTCACAACATTAACATCCCTTTCTGAGCAAAGGAGTTGCTACATCTGCCATGTCACATCCTGTCTGTCTCTTCTCTCTAGAGAGGTGTTACCTGTCCCCTGCTCTGACAGCTCTGAGAATTCTTTCTCAAAATGCAGTGCCACTGCAGGAGTAGAGCTACAGTGATTCTTTGCTTCTGGGCCACAAAGGAAAAAGATGACTTAACTGAAAGCTGCAGATAGGGTGTTTTGGTTGTTTTTTTTTTGCAGTGAGCCAGAGGTAGTAGGAAATGGCAAATTCTCATTGCCTTCATGCAGAATGTTTTCTGATCATGCTGCTAAAAACAACTGGAATTGAAGTGAAGAAATAGGCATTTAATCTATGGTAATGTTTGTTTGTGTCCTGGCGTTGACATCACATTTCCCTGGGTAATGCTTTGCTGCATAGAACACTTTGCCTGTAGCTTCATTTTTCTCCTGAAGAAATTGGTTCTCAGAAGTGGACAAGCATAAACCATGTGAACGTGTGCATTTGTACCTGCAGTCTTTTAAAGAAAATAATTTAGTCACTTTCACAGTTTGTTTGTTTTCTGCAGCCCAGTGTGGCTGTTGCCACTGTGCATAAGCATATCACTGAGCTCCTGCCTAAGCTGTATTTAAGCCAGATGTTGCAGCAAGTCTGCATTCTGGAGCTGGAGCTTTGCTGTTGTGTCCATGTCTTCTGGTGGGCCTTGAACTCTGTGTAACACAAGTACCATTTTTCCTATGTCTAGTCTACAGCTAGCTGAAATTCAGGCTTTATATTTAGAGTAACCAACCAACTACAACATGTAGCCAGATCAGTGTCTAAATTATATGTGTAGTGTGGTAGATTTAAAGAAATTTCAGTTACCAAGCTAAAAACAGCCTAGGAAACAGCTAGTGTGATTCTGTGACATTTGCTTTTCATTCCTTGGTACCTTCTACAGGCAAGATGCTCTTGAACCTCATCATCGTAGCTCATTATCTTTTTTTGTGTGAAAGCTTCTCTCAGCCAACTTATTCTTAGAATAAATTGTTTTTGTAAATTTATTCCAGCTAATCATGTCCGTGTTTGAGAACAGTATGAAAGAAAGAGGCATCACTGAAAATGAAGCTTTTGACTGGGAGAAGGCTGGTACAGATGTCTTGTTGTCCACTAGCACTTCTACTCCACCACAGCAAAACACCAGGCAAACAGCAGCCATGTTTGGGTGAGTACTGCAGTCATGCCAGTCAGACCATGGGCGTGCTCACTAACAAGTTAATCACTGAAAGATTCAAGGGCTGTTGTGATCCTGAATGGTAGGAACTTATGTGGCATGGTTTGACTTCAGGCATATTAGTAGAAAACACGTTTTGTACTTTGGATGAGTCTGTTGGTTTAAGTTACATTAAGGAATGCCTTTGAGTGGGATTAATGGAACCTGTATGCCATACTGTATGACACACACAGCTGGTGCTTCTCTAAAAGTGCTTACAGAAACACAGTTGTTCTGCTATGGAATGGGTTTCTGGTGTAGAGCTGAACTCATCAGATGCATGCTGCCTGTGCCTACTTCGTGGCTCCCCAGCCCTCACAGGGTTTTTCATTTGCTGGTGCAGCAGTACGAGAAACTTGTTGCTCAGAGTTGGAAGTCAGTCCGGATGGTGAGCTGTGGTCTGTTCTGTGCTTTTGAAGGAGTAATAATCCATAGTAATATTACTGAGGATAGAAACTGTAAAGCCTATCAAGCCTCATTGTCTCATGGACAGATGGGTGGTTTTTAAGCTAAGTACTGTGTAATGTGCACTCCTGAACTTCTGAAGAAGTTTGCAGCTTGGGAATTGAATGTCCCCAAATGCTTTCACACATCCATTCCATCTTTGTGACTGTATACTAGGTGGAATGTTCTGATCTGTTTCATATCATAATATCTGTGTTTGGGTTTTTTTTTTCAACCAGAAATACATTAAAAACTACTAAGGAATTTCTGTGGAGCAGTGTGATAGGCCACATTCCTTAATTACTGTTACCTTTCTTGTTTTTTTTCCGTAGGGTGGTTAATGTCACTCCAGTACCAGGAGATTTGCTTCGTGAGAACACCGAGGACGTCCTACAGGGTGAACATCTGAGTGATCAAGAGAATGCTCCTCCCATCCTGTCAGGCCGGCCAGCAGAAGGTCTTGGTCAGACACCAAACACTGCTTTCAATGAGGCTGAAGTTTGGGAAGAGACAGATGTGAATCGCAACAAACTCAGGATCAGCATCAGCAAAGTAAAGAGCATATGTTTATTTCTTGTGGCTTCTGGTCTCAGGGCAGTGAATTCACAGACTGCTGTAAGCAACCTGGATCCACTGCTGTAACATCCTACGTAGTACAGAACAAACAGCACCAGGAATTTCTCTGTGAAAGTGGGGAATAACAGTTTTTTTCAGAGTGAAAGCCATTGGGATTAATTTGGATCTTTATGCAAAAATACGTTGTGAACCCAATAATGCTAGAGTGAATCATTCATGTAACCACTACGTTGTGATGTAGCATCTTGGTACTTCAAGCAGTGGTGGTCTAGTCCTTCAGTAGCTGATACAGTATCAGAAATATCCCAGTTTTGGAAATTATAAGCCAAAATTTTACTGCATCCCAATCTCTTGGGCAAATAAATTCGATCTGAGGTGCCCTATTGTCCTGGATCTTAATTAATCACTGATTGAATTTGTCTTCCAGTTGTTTAACTGTCCTTTCTATGGGGTAGCACAGCCTATGAATGGCATATTGGTTCGTGCTTGTTAAGAGAAAGCAGACTCATTACTTACTATTTTTGCATTTTTGCCTTCCAAGGTCGTATTAGGCTTTGTAGCCTTCATTACATGTACACTGCAGTTGGTTTTCCTTATAATCCTTAAGCTATTTCTTCTTGTTCTTTCTTGTAGAAGATTCTTCTTGTAGAAGAATCCTTAAGCTAGTTCTTTCTTGTAGAAGTGACTGGATGATGAATTCATTGTGTTATTTGAGGGTTTACCTTTTTATTTATTAGATCAATTTACATGTTGTAAGTAAACTAGCGTTTGTTGTGTTGATCTCAGTCCTTATTTCAGAATCAGAATATCACATGGAATGATACCAAATACAAACAAAATCTGTTACCAGAGAAACCTGCATTGGCAGGCAAACTGTCAGCAGACAGATATGGCAGGGTAGCATTAATTATATGGTAAAGCTACCAGCCTGCTGGGTCTGACCAGAATTTACTTCAGTCTGTACACAGACAGAAAGTTAGTCCTTTCTTCAGCCCTTCCCACAGATATCTGTGCTGTCCTGAATCTTACTAGGAAAGATTATTTTAAGACCAGAAAGCCTCTCATCTAACTTACTTAAAGTTCTCCAGTGTGTCCAATTTGGATCAATGTGTTATTGGTATGAAACGTTACCTGAAGAGTTCCTCAATACTGAGAATTATAAATGAAGTTCAAATCACTTCTTCATCTGTCTCTGGTAAATTGTGTGTGTGTATTTGCAGAAGTTCTCATCTGAAGGCACATGGAATAAGATAAGCTTGATAGAGCAAGGCCTTTCTTTTTCCACAAGTAACAAAAACAAAAAAGTGATTGCACAGAAATAGTTCCCGTCTGTTCTTTTGTTCCTTTGAGCCACCAGGTGCCTTGATGCTCTTCAGTCAGACCAAGATGCGTGCAGGGGAGTCCTAACTGTCCTTTCCTCATGCTAGTTGTATGCTGTGTCTAGGTACTCAGTACTGTCATTCACAGGGCTGTCATAACAGCAGCTAGAGGCGGAAGAGGATTTTACAAGATCCACAGCACAACCAGGTGACTCTCCTGCTATGGGCTGTGCTATTTCTTATCAGTTTACTGGCAGAGCAGTTCAGAGGAGTCAGCATGGCAGTGAGTGCTTCAGTTCTGACAAGCTCAGTGGATACACAGCAGTGAGTAAAACAGAGCTGAGGACATTATGCTTTCCAAAGCAGAAGTCTGGCCTTTCTGTCAGCAAGGGTTATCTTTAGTCTGACTCTTGCCTGTCCTTTCTCTCTGCTAGGGCTGTTCTCTTTGCTTTGATTGTTCTCTGATAAGGAGTCAGTTTTCATTGAAGTCACAACCACCGCAAGGAGAAATAAGAGGCTGCAGATTTGATCTGTAGGGATGAAGCTTCCCCTCTCCTTGCAATCTCAGGCATACTGTGTGTCTTTCAGAATAACATAGGCAGCTGGTTGGTAAAACACCTTTCTATTCCCAGCTTCAACATCTTTGTTTTCCAGCTTTGTGGAACTAGAATTAGCTCTCACTGTCCCTGTCCGGCTCTTTGTTTTTAGGCAATGAATAAATCTTACTGTCTTTTGTTCTTCCCAGTACTTTCCCAGGATGTACTAAGGAGAATCTCTGTTCACATGGTTCAAATCTTGTTCTGTCCCATTTCTCTCATTTCTCCGCTGAGGGTTTTCTTGCTCGTTGTCACAGAGAAAGGTTCTTCTTTCACTTTGGATCAAAGTTCTCATTCTTTGTTGTTTGTTTGTGGGGGTTTTTTTTTCAGAAGTTTTTTCTTTCTCTCTTGCACTTCCTCCCAGTTCTCTGCTTTTGGATCTTGCCAAGTTGCTTGTTTTCCTACAAGTACAATATCAGTATTTTGTTCCCCCCCTCCCCAAAGATATTTGTCACCATCCTTGAAATTGACTTAGTCGTATCACATCCATCCAAAGTAGTAGTATATACATTCAATATAATGCATGATATAAGCAAAAATGTAGATTTTGTACATGTTTGCTTTGCTTTTGGACACCATAGATTAACAGAATTTGTGTTTGCAGTAGTTTAGTCCATGATAATTCCAGGGTAATTGAAAGGCAAAGGCCCTCTTGTAGAGGTGTTTAAATATTTGAATTGATGTAAAATCCATTCCTTGTTTTAATATTGGATAATTGCCAGGCCGTGTGGGGCCTTGCCGTGTGTTACTTCATAGGTTGTTGCTGTAGCTAAAACTGTGTCTTGGAAGAGTGCACAGAGCAACAGTGAAGGATGAGAAATCCAAGTCTGTGATTGGTTTTCACCGTTCTTCGTGTTTATTCCCTGCAGACTCAGTGCATGGTGGAAGAAGATCAGAGAAATGGGGTCTGTCCCAGCTCCCCTGTCCGAGTGCCTCCAGAGTCCCCTACCGCACAAGCGCGCTCCCTACGATACCGCCGTGTGAACAGCCCTGAGTCAGAACGCCTCTCTACAGCTGACGGCAAAGCAGATCTACATGAAAGAAGGTTTGCTTACCCTCTGTAACCTCCTGCTACATGTAGCAATGCCTCGATTGACTGTTGAGGCCAACCTGATGTTAGATAAATGGGCAGTGAAAGGAGGAGTCGGTGCCTGTGGGCTTTGCAGCCTTTGTGATGAGATGTTCTTGTCTGTTAATAAGGCCTGTTAGTGGGAAGGGTTCTGGGTGGGAATAAAGTAAAGAGTGGGACGTTTGGTGGAGAAAAAGCAAAGTGTTAGATCAGAAATGATGTTAATAGTCCTAAAGCTTTTTGCTGACCTTAGGTGGGAGGGAAGAATGGATCTAGTTAGGATACATACGGAGATGCATATATTTTAAGAGCTAGCTGATGGATTCTCATCTGGAGAGTTTCATTATTTCATTTGTCCAGAGTTGTGGTGGAAGCCCCATCCCTGGAGACATCTGAGGTCAGGCTGGATGGGGCTCTGAGCACCTGATGGAGCCAGAGGTGTCCCTGTTCATTGCAGGGGAGCTGGACTAGATGGCCTTCAGGGATCCCTTCCAACTCAAATGGTTCTATGAGCATTATTTTTCAATAATAACAGTCATCATCCTCATCATTTTCAGCATATAACGTTGCATTTGTTTACTTTTGCAAAGCGTTGCATCCAGAATGCAGAGTCTGATTTTGAGGCTTGTAGGTGTACTTATCTCAGATCCACAGTAAAGAAATGTCCAAGAAGCACAGAATAATAAAAATAATTGAAATAAGCAGTTTAAAGTATTGTGGCTGAGAAATGCAGGTTATGAGTTATAGACCTCTGATGCTGATAACCCTCTTCATACTCTTCATTAATCCCTCTTCCTCTTACAATTGAAAGTCAGAACATGGACTGTGGTTACAGATCTTACTGACAAAATGACCCCTGTAAAACAGGTAGGGAAGAGAAAAGCTTCTCTGTCAGAGAAAACCTAGCAGAGTTCAGCTAGAAAGGAGAGTCACAGGGAGGCACAAGCTGGAAATGAGGAAGGGCATAAAAGAACTAGAGGGAGGATGAGCCCCTAGTATTACCTCCAGTTTGTTAGGTACTGGTTTATTCTGTGTGGATGGAGGAAGCTGTAATACTTGTCTGTATTTCAGAAATGATTGTGTGTATTAGTAATTTGGAGATTGAAAAGCAAATCTTGGTTCTGGTTAACTTCTTTCTTTTCTTGTTCTCTTTAAAATAAGAAAGGAAAAAAGCCATTTATAGTAGTCAGCAGCACTACTCTTGTACATTCACTGAAAGGTTTTAACTCCTTCCTCTATTTCTCCTGTTCTTCCCTATCTTTTCAGCATCATGCTGTCTTAATGTAGGAAATGTGTAATACCCAGGAGGCATCTTCTTTCTTCTTTCTCTGTCCTCTTTCCTCAGCCCATATTTTTAAAACAAAAATCTGTTTGTCATCTTCCAAGTAGCCTCCCTCAGCATGGTACAAGTATTGTCCCCCTCTGCCACAGCCTTCTATTTATTCTTCTCTCTCCTTTTCACAGTAGAGACATGACTTGCAGCACTTCCTCTGGATTCCTGGAGTAAATTCTTTCACTCCAGGAGTCTCTCCTCTGCTGGGGAAAGGAGAGGTGCATTGATTAAATCCCATCAGCTTCTTTTTTTTTTCCTTTTTTTTAGTAAGAGCTCATTAATATGCAATTTTTGACTCACATGCAGTGTGAGAGGGCTACTGTTCAGTCTTACCTTGTCTAAGTCTTCCCTGTTCACAGTAATATACTTTGTTTGTAAGTATTTAACAAAAGCACCCTTACTTCTTTCAGATCCATCAGGTGGTTTATGCTGAGGTCTTTGTTTTCCCATACTTCGTTCTCTATATCAGCCCTTGATTCACCACCTTCCCTGATTCCTGTTTCTTCATCAAAAATTGCTCATTTTGACTTGTAATTCCTTCTTGTCTCATCTCTGACCTTCCATTGTGCCAAAGACACCCAGCTCTGCTTAGTAGCCCTCACCCTGTGGTCAATCATCTTTGTGTTTTCCCTTGAAGATTTTTCCCCAGAAGAGCACACAAGACCTCTGTATGGTCCTTGTTGAAATCGCTTTGTAACAAAACACTGCAAGTGTCTTTTTCTGGGCATCAGACATTGTGACTGTGCAACAAGCTGCCAGCCTCTGCAGTAGTCAGAGCTGAATAGGGAGGGAAAGGGAGCAGCAGGTGCAGGCCAAATGAGAAGCATGGACCATAACACTGTGGAACAGAAAGACAGAAGTGCCTTTGGTTTTTCCAGCTGAGATGATGCCAAGGCTGTCGGGGCACAGGGAACTTCCAGGGCTTGTTTGAAAGGTATTTCTGCATGGCTGCATAGCTGCATTGATGCTATTTAGATTGTGAGTCACTGAACATTATACTGCCCTTTGTCAATGCATATGTGACATGTTTCCTTCCTGCTCCTCCAAATTATTTTGAGGTCACCTACGCCTTGTAACATTTCAGTGAGATTTTCCTGCTGTCTTCAAAGAGCTCACATAGCCACCGCAGAGACCTCAATGGCCACCTTAGAGAGCACAGTGCAACTGAAGGGGTATAGGAGCCCAGCAATGACATTAAGTCAGATAGTAGATTTAAGTTGTTTTTTTTTTTTGTTTTTTTCACAAACCAGTAGGAATTCCTAATGGGGAAGGAGTATTTTGGTGTTGTGGAAGAAAACTGGTTGGAATCTTGTCAGCTATAAGGAAGAGAGTTGATGAAATGGGTGGCTATCATACAGAATTATTTTAGGAGGAGTGTCTCTGCTACTGTAGGTTCTAAATAAATGTTTTTGCCTAAGCCCATCTTTCTAAAGTACAGTAAGAAAGGAGTGAGAGCTATAGGGTTTTGTTTCTCAGCTCATATGCTCTCTAACCACAAACATGACTTATTTTTAATGGCTTCGTGTTCTGTCTTTAGATCACGAATGGATTTGCCTGGCTCTCCATCACGGCTTGTGTGCTCCTCCCAGCCAGCCCAGATGCTGTCCATTGACACTGGCCAGGCTGACCGGCAGGCAAGCGGTCGGATGGATGTGTCTGCTTCAGTGGAACATGAAGCCCTCAGCAATGCTTTCCGCTCAGTGCCGCTTGCGGAGGAGGAGGACTTTGATAGCAAGGAGTGGGTTATCATTGATAAGGAGACAGAGCTGAAGGACTTTCATCCAGGTGCTGAGCCAAGCACCTCTGGTACCACAGATGAGGAGCCTGAGGAGCTAAGGCCTATTGAAGACGGTGAGGAGAGAAGGCGCTTGGGCGCAGACGCTGCAGTCAGGCCGAAGATTCATGATGGGCGAAGTCGGGGTATGCAGCCTGTGACTGAGGAGGACAGTTCCCACAGACATGAAGGACCTTCTCAAACAGTATCTGACAGTAAACATGAACAGCAGACAGGAAGTCCAGCCCACTCCCCCCTACACTCAGCACCAGCTATCCGACAAAGGAGACGAGAATCTGAACCTACTGGTCCTCAGAGACAGGTAAGATCCTTACTCTGGTCTGTATCTCATTGCCTAGCATAGCGAAATCATCGCCTTGGGAAGCCTCAGCTTTGCTGGAGAAATCTGAGGTTCCAGACACGGATGCTGTTGTGAAACTTTCTGACAATACTTGCAAATGTTGTGAACACCTTCGAGGTGCTCCCTGTAGCTGGTAGCGTTGTCCACTTCTAAGAGCACATTGTTGTCAAGATACTTAAGCATTTCTGCACAGATACAAGAGGTGAGCACATTTCTGGTTGTGGGTATCTTTAATAAGCCCTCTTATTATTATCCCTCAGTGATTTGTTAATAACTGCTTAGTTGTGTGGAGGTGTTACTAGCACGTCTCCTCACAGTTTCTCAACAGCAGCAGCAGCAATACATTACAAGATAACGCTGCCTAATGTAATCATACATCATGGGTAGGCCTGCAGCAATGCATAGCATGAAGTAACTCCCTAAAATTAAACTTTCTTTGGAATACCTAATAAAATCTCAGAGTAACCAGTACATATACACCTCAATCTTACTTCAGTGATCAGCATTGTTGTCAGGCTTTTAACTCACAGAAATGTCATCAGCTACTGTGTTTTTTTCCTAACAATTGTAGAGGGCTTCATTCATTTGTGGCTTTTTTTTTTTTCCCCCTATGGTCCTCTGAAGACATAAAGAAGTTCAGTTTTTAGTAAGAGGTAATATCTTTTATTAGATTACCTGGAGAAACATGATATACTGTTAGCTCAGATTACCTGTGTCATATCTAGTCTTCATTTCTCAGACATTCAGAGGAAGGCTGTAGAGTGTTAATAGCAAAAAAAAAAAAAAAAAAAAAAAGCAACCTATAAAATTGCTCTCCTGAGAGCTAGAGTTTGTATGCTAGTGAAGATCTATCATGTACATGCAGTCCATAAGTGAAGGAAACAGCAGGCGAGTCTCAGACCATGTTGCAGAAATATGCTCTCATGGTAAGTGCCTTTGCAATTTTGTTCACCTCTGGAAGATGGTAGCTCCATTTTCCATTCCTTCTTGGCCTTGGTCTCTCAGAAAGTGTTCACAGGATTGGATCCTTCTGCACAAGCCCTGCCCAGATTCTGTTCTTCTCTGGATCCCAGAGAGTAATTAAAAAATAAAAAAAATAAAGGCGGAGGTGTTCACTGTAAAAAGCCAATATTTGGCATGGCCAAGATGTCTGGAATTGCATAGGCAGGACCAGCAAGTTGAAAGAGCTTCTGTGTGAATTTGTTCTGTACTCTTATTAAACTGATCAGTGCAAGATGCTCATAATGCAGTGAGTGTGGCACAAACCAGCTGGTAAGAACCAGCAGGGACGCTTCACTGGCATATTTTACATAGCTAAAAAAGGCTGGAGCAAGGATAGTAAGTGCTGTGTGAAATGACTGAGGGAGTTGGGTATGATGCAGCAGGAAGGCTGCTTAGCACAGCATAATGATGCTTTAAAAAAGGTCACCCTAGCAGGCAAAAAAAGAAAATTCACTTCCTTTCATTAAAGATAGATAATGTGGTTGTGGGTGGTCACTTAATGTATCAGACACCCTTAGTTCTCCACCAGTCTGTGCCTTTCTTTGTTGTTCAGTTCTGAAATACTCCCTGGTTACTACTGAGCCTCATTTTGTTCAGCCTCAGCTCTCTCAATTTTTTTGTTCCAGTGAAGGATTCTCCAGCCCCTTCATCATTCACTGGACTATCTTTAATAGCTTCCAAGCTTAGAATTGGACCTGGTGCTCTAGGTGTGGCCCCACCAGCACTGAGAAGAGGGCAACGGCCATCACCCTCCACCTGAACGGAGCATTCCTAATGCAGCTTAGGAAGCAGTTAGCCTTTTCTGCAGCAAGAGCACATTGATGGCTCATGTTCAATTTGGTGTCCATCAGGATCCCCGGGTACTTCTGTACCAAACTGCTATCAACTGAGGATGCAGTCTGTCCAATCGTTTAATCACTAATGAAGTGTCCCTAATATCATCCCCTGGGCTGCATCACCAATGACTGGAAGTTCAGGCAGTTTTCAGTCCAGCTCAGTATCCATTTATCTTGCCTATATTTCATCATTTTGTCTCTGAAGATGTTTTGGAGACAACGTGAAAAATCTTGCTGAAGTTGAGATAAGCAACCTTTCCCTTTTTTTCTCACCCAGTGAGCCAGTGATCTCATCACAGAAATCTATCAGGTTCATGAGGAAGGATTCAGCCTTCATATACCTGTGCTGATGGCTCCCAGTTCCCTTTTTCTCAATGTATGTGGAAATAGCTTCCAGCAAGATTTGCTCCACGGCCTTTCCAAGCTGACTAGAGTGCAGTTTCCCAAGTTGTCATCATCTACAGCTCAGATGTTTGTTCAAACGTTTGAATCTGTTGCAAGAAATACTGCAAGTGTGAGGGAAAGTGGTGTCCTTAAGAAACTGTGGTGTGTGAGGGAGCAAAATATGAATGAATGGTGCTGTGGGCAAAATGAAGTATAGAAAAGGCTTTTAATAGCCTGGGAGAATTTCTGGCTGAGAAGGTATGGAAGAGATGTGTGGATGTGGCATCTAGGGACATGGTGTAGTGGTGGGACTCACTAGGTCAGATTAATGATCAGACTTGATATTGAAAGTGTTTTCCAACCTAGATGATTCTGTAATTCTCTATTCTCATATATTAGGTATCTTCTATTTTCAAGTGATGAGACAGCTACAACAGAGCATAGTCTCAAGGGAAGTGCTGATACAGAAGCAGAACAGCATTGTCCTGAAACCATACCTAGTTCAAGGCCTTCTGTCTGTGTGCCACTTATTGAAGTGCTAAGCATACAACAAGTTACTTAACAGAGCATTTAGGTTTGTTAATATATGAATTGTAATAACTGTGTAACAGACCTTATGTCTGCAGGCTAACATGCAGATGAAGCTGTAGAAATAGCTAATGCGTAGAAAGATCTTGAACTCGCACTTCTGTTCACACATGAATTCTAGTGCAAGATTTCTGTTATTTTTTAGAAGTGTTTTTGTCCACACTTAGCAATATCATTTAAAAATTTGTCAAGTTCTTAAATATGCTGACTAAATTCACAGATACTTGATAAAGATGGCAAGTTACCTCTGCCTTCTGCATTGGGAAGAAATATGAACATTCATGCATTTAAAAGTTTTATCCATTGCTTCCGTCTATAGGTCTGCACACATGACTATTTCTCTACTCTGAATCTCCTTTGCTGCTTGACCAACTGGTGTTGTAGAAAATGTTTTGAGGCTCTTTACCTAAAACATTCCTGCCTAAGAGATGTTCTATTGGAGAAGTACAAAAGTGTGAAGCAACACTGGGAGATTGAATTAACTTTTCCTTACCTATTCTTGGATATATTCTGCAGAGCTCACAGGGTACTTTGCTTACACTGTGTCTTGCAGTCCCATCTTCTGGAGCCAGGAGTTTATCCTTTAGTTAAGATCTCAATATAAGATCCACTGATATATTTCCTCACAAGCTTAGCCACGTTGTTAGAATTATTCTTTATAAAATCCTGCTTGGACAGGATTTTGTAAATGTTAGGTCTCTTTCCTCTTGCAGCCAACCTCCCACAGCCAGGAGAATACCACGTATGGACTTTCTTAAAGTTGCCTGTGTCTTGACCCTAAGAAATCAGCGGTTGTGAAACTTAGAAACTCTTTCAATCGTATCCCACCCTTGGCATCTTTGCTGAGAGATCTCCCAAGTGTGCTCAACATGAAGACTTATGTTGGTACAACATGAGTAAGACAGGAGGCAGTTAGAACACATTGGCCTGGCTTCACCTGGGAGTTGTCTGTTGTCACTGACTTTATTCTGTAAAAATCTGCGTTGAAACCCTCACTGAGCCAAGAAAATTCTCTGTTCTGGTGTTGAGTCCAGTGCCCTCATGCTCTTGAACCTCATCATCACCTTGTTTGAGGGATGCAGTAGTTGTGATATTGCCTGGTATCCATGGAAGACCCTGTCCTTGCTGGTGACCCCTGTGTGCTGCTGCTTTCCTTCATTGATCTGAGGTCGTGGCAGTTATTTTTCAGAAAGAGGCAGAGACATAGGAGAGGGCTGTCTCACAAAACAGGGATCATGTGTTGGTCATGAATCATGTGTTGTAGTGTCCTAGGTTGCCTCTGGATCTGTTACCTGAAGTTTTGTTTGATTTGCACTGGGGACTGAAAGCTGCGCAGGACATTTTCTGGATTGCATTTTGAGCTCTTTGACCACAGACCCTGGAGCAGTGATGAGGGAAATCCTTAGCGCTCCCGGAGTACAGGAGGCAGCAGAGGAGATGACAAACAATCTGACAGTGACAAACAATCTGAGCAGAGGAGGTAGGGAAAGGGAGGAAAGCAGCAAGGAAGTGAGGTATGAATAGGTGCTGTGTGTCTTGCTTTCCTTTTCATTCTACAGCAACATCTGTGGGGCCGTTTCTCAGTAGTGAGCAATGGACATTTGCAGAAAATTGGTAATTACGTTTAATGTCTTATTCTTAAGTCTGTTGAGCTCTGTCAATACCATGCTTCTCCGGGACTAAGAGATGTCACACTGCTCCTGTCCAAACAGAATAGGATAGGGCTGATGGAGGGTGGTCCAGCCTGACTGCCAAGGGCAAAGAAATGAAGAGGGGCAGCACCTTCAGCTTTGACTGTGTAATTCAAGCATTAGGACATCCATTAACGTAAGTGGCATGTTTGTAATCTCAGCTTCTGCCAGGAGGCAGCAATGTCTGATTTTACTTGGTGGCAAGGGGTTGAAATTTACCCCTTTGTGCCCTGGGCAAGGTCCTTGGTTCTGTGCTGTAAAGGAAGTCCATCGAGATAGTTGGGTAGTTGGATCCTTTTTTTAGCTGAGAAGGCTTCACCGTGTTGGTATGATACATAGAGTGAAAATCATACTATATGCTTAGCATGGAGCAGATAATAATTATAAGAATTCTGTGTACGTATTTGTGCAGCCTACAAACAGTATACCCAGGACTGAATTTGTATGCCATCTACACAAA